GTTTATTAACCCCTTCTCAGAATATTGTAATATATTTACAAAGCAAACAACTTATACTGAAATACTGTTATCAAAAGTATTTTTTAAAAAGTTCACAGACTCCAGGTTAGAAACCCCTGCCCTAAAGAGTGAATAGTTTGAAAGACAACCTCTAAGGAAGGAATTTATTGTGAAACAGCTAGGTGGTGCAGTGCTGGGTCTGGAGACAGGAAGAACTCTGAGTAGCATGTGACTTTGGGGAGGTTGCCTAATCTCTGCCTTCCTCAGTTTCCTTAACTGTAAAATGATAGATAATAATTATGCCTATCTCTCAAGGTTGTTGTGCAGGTAGAATGAAATAATATTTGTAAAGCATTTAGCATAGTGCCTGGCACATAGTAGGTGCTTAATAATGCTTATCTTCCTTTTCTTCCCTTCCCCTTCTCCCTTTTCTCTTCCTCCTGCTTCAAGTGATAATGATGTTGTTGCAAAGGTGCTACCAGAAGAAAGGTCATGCAGTAATTGAGGCAGAAAAGATAGATGAGTAGTAATGGTTGGTTATTCTTTGTTAAAAGTACTGAAGTCACCATTTGTCATTCTAACAAAAGGATTTTAGAGTTGTACTGTCTTTTCATGGAATAGATGACTGCATGAATGAATGAATAAATGAATAAATGAATGAATGAATGAAAAAGCATTAACTATGTAATATACTAAGTGCTAAAGCTATAGATACAAAAGTGAGACATTCCTTGCCCTCAAGGAGCTTAGATTCCAGCAGGGTGAAACCTATAGCACACATATAAGGGAATGGCCAAAGAAGGGAATTTCTTTCTAGGGAGTCACAGGGATGGTAAGCAGAATCGTAGGTACAGCTGGGTTTCAGGTGACAAGATGTAAAAAGTAGAGAAGAGGAGAAGAAAGGAAGCCAAGAGAGTAGTAGAGTATCAGCAGAAAAGACAAGTAATTTACAGAAGACAGAATCTAAGAAAAGACCCAGCAGCAAAACCTGTGTCCCCAGCTGTCTGTACACAAGTACACCAACTGCAGGTAATAAAGTATACTGGGCATCTTACTACAAGGTGTCAGATTCAACCTGATGGGTCCTCCTGGAATTGTTAGGCAGGAACAATATGTTATGAGTGAAATATAGCTATGGAAAGACTAGGTATATGTTTTATAGAAGGAAACAGAATAGATAAAATGGAAACAAAGGTATAGAATTGCATATTAATAAGATACAGCCATGTGAGAAAAAACACATGAATCAAAGGTTGGAGGGAGAGGAGAACGATACAGGAAATCATTTGGGTCTGGACCATAGGTTCCCAAAGTGGGTAATACCTCACCCTAGGGGGTGCTGGAATGATCCAGTGGGGTGGTAGCAGCCTTGGGTACAATTGGGGGGCTTTGAATAAAAATAAGGGGCGGTAGAAGGAAGCATAAGAAAAGAAGCGAAGAGAAGAGAATTTTGAAAAACCATTCATACATGTTTCATCTGTTGTGTAACAGAGTTAAAGTCATAGTGGTTACATTATTTTTCAAATAAGCACACAAAATGCAAGTTATAACCAATCAGTTGTCAAATCCACTGACAGGTCTTAACAAGCAAATGTTGACAAGTGCACATTGTCATGCATTGTAGGGAAATCCAGCATGCACCAGCAGGAATATGTGCATGTAATGACTTGTTTACAATACGGTACTATACCATTACATGACGCTATATTGCATCATCAAAATTTCAGTGTAGGAAAAAAAAAACAAATTTACAATAAATTGTTAAATTTAAGATGTCATTTTAAAATATTTTATATTTTTTTGAATTGATGCAAATTTTAAAAAACTGTTAAAGGGTTAAAAAAACTAGATTTGCAGGGAAGCGCTGAGTAATTTTTTTTTTTTTTGAAAGAAGGCGCTGGGCCAAATAAGTTTGGGAACCTCTGGTCTGGACTAATGAAGGGAGAAACAATATTGTTAAGGAACTATAGTTATAGATTGTCTTGACGAAAGAAGGAAATAGATAAGGAGGGTCAAACCTGGCCTTGACTGTAGCAGTAATGGAGCACTTGAATTATCTGGGCAGACTCGCAGGCAGTGCCTCTGCTTCCTTTTCTCTTACTCTCTTCTACTCTTTGGAAGTTGACTTCTGACTCATCATTCAGATGAAATTGCTCTCTCCAAAGTTACCAGTGATCTCTTAATTGCCAGATTGAATGACCTTTTCTCAATACTTCTTGAGCTCTCTGAAGCCTTTGACACAGCCGATCATTATCTTCTTGACATTCTCTAGGTTTTCATGACACTGCTTTTTTCCTAGTTCTCTTCCTTCTTGTGACTACTGCTTCTCAGTCCCCTTTGCTGAATCTTCAACTCGGTCACCTCCACCAACTGTGATTGTTCCCTAAGGCTCTATCCTGTCTTCTTGTATCTTCCCTGTGCACAGTTCCACTTGGTGATCACAGCAGCTCCCGTTATTTCAGTTATTATTTCTATACTGATGACTCTCAGATGTACTTATTCAGCCCTGACCTCGCTCCTGAACTCCCTTCTTACATTTCTAACTGCCTGTTGAATGTCTTGAACAGGATGTCCCATAGACGTTTTAAATTCAAAATGTCCAAAGCTGAACTGATCTTTTCCTTCAAACTTTTCCCTTTTTCTAAAATCTCTGGTTACTCTCAAGGGCACTACCATCTTCCCATTAGCACAGGCATCCCTAGGTATTGTCCTCATTTCCTCCCTCTTACCCCTTTCTCATCCAGTCACCTGTCCAGTCATGTCATTTCTGCCTTCATAAGGACTACACCATGCTGCCTCCATATGCCATATGCACTATTAGGAGCAGCATCCAAAATGAATTTTTCTAGGCAGGGTGTTTGCATCTCATTCTCTACTCAGACTTATTTTTTTTCCCATCTCCATAGAATTGGGAAGAATTTTTTATGATCTATCAGATTTATTAGCAGATAAAATTTTTATTTTTTTGAGAGATAGAAAACATTGCCAAGGAATTGCTAGTTGGAACTGGTTTTCTTTCACATTTCATGAATTAATTCTGGCTGAGGGAATACATATTGAAGTCTTTAAATTAGCAAATTACCCTGAAATTTTTTAGGTAGTGAAATCCCAAAGTTACAAGATGGAACTGAAGGAAGATTGGCTTCAGGTAGGGAGGTATAAGATTATCTCACCCCTTTCCCACTCAAAAAAATACATAAATAAAGGCCATCAAAAGGTTGGGCATCATTGCAGACAAATTCTACAAAACTAGTTCATTCTCACCTTGAATACTTGATGCAGCCCTGATCCTTGCATATTTCAAATAAAGCATTGAAAAAAAAATCAATAGTAAAGCTGCTAAAAATATTATAGACATATTAGCATAGACATTAAAGATTAGTACTAAATGAGCATAATATTGAAGTCTGTGAAATTCATGAACAATATGAATAGGGTGATTGTTATCTTGCTTACCAAATCCTGGAATATTCACTTTAATAAGGATTGTTGAAACCCCAAAGAAGTAAATTTAGGTAGGAAACTTGAAGAATTTGTTCCCTCCAAGAAAAGGAACAGAAAGAAAATATAATTAAGTTCATAAAACCACAGTGTTATTAAGGGAATCAAAGATGTTAGCTATTTCTTTCTCTTTTTAGTTTGTAATTGAGAGTATGTGCTCTTAAAAAAAAAAACAAACAACCAACAACTGCTTCATGAAACTACTGCCGGAAGCTACCAAACTGTAGTTTACTGTCATGACTACTAAATCTACCATTCTTCGATCCTGGAGATTGTGGCCTTGGAACAGGATTGTAGTTCTTATGGATGTGTGGTTTCAGATGAAAATATATGTATGGTTCCACAGAACCACTGGAAATACCGTTCTAATTAATAGAATTGGTACAGCAGTCATTTGGTCAATATCATAACTTTTCTGCAGTACAGTATTTTTCAGTAATTTAGTTTGAATGCAATTTTCAGACATAAAATAGAGAAAATTAAAATGAGGATTATTATTTTTCCAGTATGGGGACCGCTATATTTAGTTTTTAAGGTTATGATCTCCTTTGTAGGTAGTATGGCAGAGTAAGACGTGATCTGAACTCGAAATCAGGAGACACCAGGGTTTGAATCCTAATTCTGCTACTTAAGTGCATGACTCATGGCATGTCACCCTTTTGAACCTCACTTCCTTCATCTGTAAAATGAGCATATAATACCTGTACCACCTACCTTAAAGAATGCTGCACAGAAGTTCTTGGTAAACATTAAATCACTGTGCAAATGTATATTCTTTTTGTTGTACAGAAGCACCTTTGGAGGCAAAAGAATTGTCAAATAATAATGACCCCAAGCCTACTCATAAATGTCCTCATTAAAATTAGAATATGAAGTAGATTTCTCCAAGTCCCAAAGATGAATGAATGACTGGAATAAAATTCCCATGGAATATTCAGGTGAACATTTTCTAAAGTAGAATCATGATGGTCTATCATCCTTAAAAAACTATCATGGAAGAGTTGCCAAAGGTGATTCCTAGTTATTTTTTCACTCTCTATATATACACATACATACATGTATATATTTATAATGATATGTATATGACTGTATACATACATACATATCTCTGTCTCTATATAGTCTTGGGTTTTCATCACAGCTGGCAGTTAATAGCATTATCACTTGTTATTGCATTGTAGGTAAAATTTGTAAAGTACAGCCCACAGATTAAAAAAATAAATTAATGCAGTTTTTGTAAAAAAAACAAAACAAAACAAAACAAAAAAAAAAACCATGACAGCTATTGTGAGTGGCTTCCTGTTTTGGCTCCTACCATACAATAAAAGTGAGAGATTTCCTCAGTTTTGAACTTGAATTACTGCTTTTCCTGGTCTCAGTACCTTGCTACCAGATATTCTGTAAGGAAATGCTTGTACCAAGTAAATTATTCAAGAAATATTTTATTTGCAGGCTTATTATAACTTTATGTATCTTATATATATTTCTATCTCAATTAGATCATTGAAGTTGGACTTTGTGAAGTTTTTGAGTTGATCAAAGAGACACGGTTTTCTCATCCGTCCCTGTGTCTTAGGAGTCTGCAAGCTCTGCTTAATGTGTTGCAGGGTCAACAACCGGAAGGCCTCCAGTCAGAACCACCTGAGGTTCTTGGTAAGATCTCATACTTGTTGAAAAGTGATTTATTTAACCAAGCATTTGCTCTAAGTAAGCATACAAAATAGTGTGAAATTTCATCTCTGATTAATATGATTAAACAGATAAAAAGAAGGCTTAAAGACTTTCTTCTTTCATTATTGTCACAAGTGCTATCTAGGAGTCACAATTTAGTTATAGAAAATGTTTCTTTATAATGATAGTAGTTGATAAAAATAATATAAATATCCGCATATAACTCTGAAAACTTGTCTTGGTTGTTAATATTTAAACTTTTCTCATCAAAACTTTTTTTAAAACCAGAACTGTTAATGGGATTTATGCAAAATTTGACACACACACACACCCCTCCCCCCGACTCTGGCTAGCACTAGTGTGATGGGGTGAGATGATTTTTAAAAATGGAAAGAGAAGAGTGAGGGATTAGAATTATACACAAATATATCACATAGAAATAGTGTTGAATTTGGAGTCAGAGGACCTAGATTCAAATTCTGTCTCTATTACTTATTATCTTTGTGACCCTGGGCAAATCTGAGAATCTCTAGCTTCCATTGAGGCTCAGCTCAAGGGCCCTCTTGTACCCAAGGCCTATCCAAGTCCCCTCAGTTGTTAGTGCTCTTCTACCCTGAAATAATTGTGTGTACATTTCATTTTTACCTACCTGTGTGCATATTTTTCTCCCAGTAGAGTATAAGCTACTCAAAGTCAGGGACTGCTTTGTTTTTGTTCTGTGTCCCCAGTACCTAGAACACAGTAGACATTTAATTAATGCTGATTGATTGACTAGCACTTAAACTAAGTTTTCTCATCTGTAAAATGAAAGGGAAGGACTCGATAATTTCTGAAGTCTATTCCTAGCACCAAATCAAATCTGTGATCCTGTGATTTTATACCAAAGAATCAGTCAGTAGGCATTTCTATAATCAAGACTAAAACAATTCGGTGGCCTTAAAGAATAGAAGCATAAACAGAAGCAAAACTTCTGAATAGATGGTTTTCCCCTGCTGTTGACATTGTCAGTCACTTCCTATGTGCAAGACATATAATATAAATGTTACGGAGAGAGAAGCATGAGGCCTTGAAAAAAGTAGTTCACTGTTAGCATGTTTAATAAAGTTAACTGCACTGAGTAATATTTCACTTGTGTTGTAAATTCTGTTCATTCTTCTCCCAGATCAGATTCATCTTTAACTCCTCTCTTTTCCCTTTCCTCATCCATTCAGTTGTCCATGTCCACCTGCCAGTACAGTTTCACTTGCAGCTGTCCCTTTCTTCCCCCACTACAGCCATTGTAATTTACTACCTCATGTCTGGATTTCACGCCTCATTTCAGCAGTCTCTTCCTCCGTAGTTATTTCCCTTTACACCTCTCACTGTACGAGGGCAGTGTACCACAAGGGACAAGAGTATAAGATTTGGAGTTAAGAAGACCCAGGTTCAGATCTTGCTACTAACACTGACTAACTCTCTGTGCCTTAGTATTTTCATCTATTACACTGGTATCAAAATAGTTGTAGTACTTACTTCTCAGGGATGCTTTGAAGGTCAAATGAGATAATATATAAAGCATTATGAAGATTTTAGAGCACTGTGTAAATCCCAGTATTATCTTTATCTACAGATCTGATCAGGTTACTCTGCTTCCTCAAACCTTTGAGTATTTTATTTTCCAGCCAAATTGTACCTCTTGGCATTCACTGCTCTCTTTTCTTTGGCTCACACTGTTCCTTATACTTTCCTACCCCATATCTAACTTAAAATCTGTGTATCTTCTGCATGTTCAAATGCCACTTTCTGAATGAAGGCTTCCCAGATCTCCACTATAATCCATACCCCAATCCCCAAGTAAGAAATGATCTTTCCTTCTTTGAAACTCTCATAGTATTTTGCACCTTTCTTTTATCTAAAGTCTGTTTTATTGTTGCAGTTATTTATATGTTGTACTGACAAGGCTTTAAGCTGAGGGAAGAACAGGATCTCAGTTGTCATGTCTTCCTCAGTACCTGACAGAGTATTTTACATACATTAGGCACTTACATGTTGATTAACTGAATGAATACCATGCTTTCCCCATCACTGCACCTTCCTTCTCTGACTAAGCATTATACATACAAGTTAATTGTGAAGAACAGTATTTTTTCTTCTAGTCCAGATGATTTGTTGGAATATGTATTTTATTAGCTATTCATTTTGTTACATGTGGGACTAATATCTTGATATTTCAATTTTGTATGCCACATAAAAAATAAACTTTTTAAAAAAGAATTATGTTACCAGAAAGATCTGAGAGGATTGAAATGTGTTATTTTAAGAACATGGTTAGTAGATATTGTTGCCTGCCAAGTGATTTGTCAGATAATAGTTATAGGAAAGAAATCAAAAGACCATTGTTTTTCATTAATAACTTTATTTCTTACCTTCTGATATCTTGCAGAGTTGCAGCATGGTATAGTAGAGAGCTGACCTCAAAGTTAGAACAACTGAGATTTTAGTCCAGCCTCTAACATGTAAATAGATGTGTGACATTATCCAAGTCACTCAATCTTTCAGTGCCCCAGGCAACTTGCTAATATAACTTGTAGAGCAATTGCTGTTCTGTCTTTGTAGAGGAATTTTCTTCACTGGAAATTTCCTATTCGAATGAAATCACAGGCCAGGACCAAGAAAAAAACTTCCCAAATCCATCTCACATACTTATGAGTTTGCTGTATTGTTGGATTTTATTAAGTTTTTTAAAATTTTCAGGCCCTTTAATCAGTATTTTCTTTTTGACCTAATTTTCCTCTTCCCTGAGTTGTTTAGCACCATTGTTCAGTAATTTTATTGTACTTTTCATTAATGGGTAACCATAATGCCCAAGGATTAGTATTCCAAACCTTTGGAATACCACCTCCACCACCCCCAAGAGCAATATTTAGAAATTAAAACATCTTATTATGAAAATAGTTTTGACCTCATGAACCCCCTGGGGTTCCCCAGGGGCTCTTCAACCACACTTTGAGAACTACTATTCTGGGTGAACAAATGACATGTTGTTATTCACCAGGAGATACTGTAGTACTGAACTTTGTATCTACCTACAGTGGTCCATAGTTATTGATATAGAAGGCTTCCCATCTTCAAAAACTACAAGGGATACTCAGCTGCTCCTCTGGTTAGCTTACTTCTGACATGGTAGAGGATTTCCATCACCCTTGTGGTTTATTTCCCAGTTGTTTTTTAAGGAGCCCCGAGATGCTACCTTCAGACCTAAGATCCTCCCAAGTACTATCTTTCCCTGCTACAGAATTAATATCACATTGACAATAGAATAAGTACTTTGGGAGATAAAAGACTTCATTAATAAAGAATAAAAAATGGGGAAAGTTGAACAAAAACTGACCAGAATATCAAAAAAGATTGACAGGGACATGCACTATTTCGTACTTACAGCCACCACCACCTCTGTGGGCACTAAATTCTCGGAACACTTTTAACAAACTGGACACACATGTCTGCAGAAGAGCCACAAGAATTAAGTTTAAACCGTGTCACACAAGTTGAAGAACATGGGGACAAAAAAGCCAAGGGTAAACTGAGAGACATGGTCAATGACTTTAGATATTTGAAAGACTTCTCATAGTTATGTAGCTAGTTAGCTCTTGATTCAATGTAAGGAAAAATTTCCTAGCAGTTAGAGCTAGTCCAAAAAGAGACTCGGCTCTTGAGAAGTGGTAAATTCTTTATTATTAGAGGTCTTCATGCAGAACCTGGATGCTTCAAGTAGAGACAATGGTCTTTTGATTTCTTTCCTATAACTATTATCTGACAAATCACTTGGCAGGCAACAATATCCTATTAACCATGTTCTTAAAATAACACATTTCAATCCTCTCAGATCTTTCTGGTAACGTAATTCTTTTTTAAAAAGTTTATTTTTTATGTGGCATACAAAATTGAAATATCAAGATTTTTGGCTTGTTAGATAAGGAGCATAGTGTCAGATGGATTAGTTTTGAGATGAGGGTTTGACTAGATAACCTCTGAGGTCCCACCCACCTCTAAAATTCTAAGATTCTCTGACCCTGGGACCTCAGACAAATTACTTAATGTCTAGGTCTTAAATTTATTTAACCTCTAGTTTCTTCATCTGAAGATAACGATTCCTGCCTTGTCTCGCAGGGCTGTTTTGGATAGAAAAGTGCTGTGGAAAGGTATGCTGAAAAGATTTTAAAAATAATATGCGAATAATAGGTGGGATATTAGTAATAAAACAAAAGCTGTGTGATAAAAATAAAAACTTATTATCTTACCAGTTTGTGCTTCACTATGTTAGCATCACGGTAATTATATAACTTTCGTTTGTTATGTTAAAGATTTGCAAATAAGTACATACAAAGTTATGGCTCCACTGAATTTTTTTACATCAACTTTATAAGAGAAACCATTAATGTAAAATGAAATCTGTGCTTACTTCTTGCATGATTCAATTCTTCCATAAGTGAATTGATAACAGTGTTTTAAGTGACTTTTTAAGCAAGTTTCATAAAAGCTGTAAGTTTCATTTTACTTATATTTAAAATGAGGGAGCTAAATCAAAGATAGTCTTTAATGTTCTTTTTAGTTCTGTTCAAATTGACTTTTGGGAAAGAAGAGTAAAGGGGAAAGAAATTATGTTAGTATATGTAAAATGTATTTTACCTGTGCTAATTTAATAGAATTTTATTTTATCCACAGAGTCTCTTTTCCAGCTCCTTTTGGAAATTACTGTTCGAAGTACTGGAATGAGTGATAGTACAGGACAGTCCCTGACTGCACTTTCTTGTGCTTGTCTATTTAGCCTGGTAGCTTCTTGGGGGGAAACAGGAAGAACTCTTCAGGCTATATCTGCTATCCTCACTAACAATGGCAGCCATGCTTGCCAAACTATTCAGGTATTTCATACGTATTTTCACTTTGATATTTAAACACTATCTGCTTTAGATTTCCTACTTTGTCTTGCTTTTCGAGTTGTTTTAAGTCACTAACTTACACAGAATTATGTATTATGCATCATTTTCATATTTTTAAAATGCTGTGTTTTAATAATTGCCTTATCTATGTTGTGTATTTGAAGTCATGTAATGTAATTTTGTACCCACGTAGGTGCCAACAATTCTAAACTCTCTCCAAAGGAGCGTACAAGCTGTTTTGGTGGGCAAAATTCAAATTCAGGACTGGTTTAGTAATGGAATTAAAAAAGCAGCATTGATGCACAAGTGGCCTTTGAAAGAAATTTCTGTAGATGAAGATGACCAATGCCTACTTCAGAATGATGGTTTTTTCCTCTATTTGTTATGCAAGGATGGATTATACAAAATTGGCTCTGGATACAGTGGAACAGTGAGGGTAATATACTCTTTGTAGTTAAAATCCACAATAGAAGATTCTTTGTATTTTTTGTGACTTGCTTGACTTTTAAAATACCTTTTAATCTAATAGTAATGATGAGCGATTTAAAAAAAACCTACTAATTAAAATTCAATGTTAAATGTTTTCCTTTTTTTTGTATTGTTCTCTTCATTTGTTTTCAGCTAACTATAGTCTTTATAATAATTCTAGATGATTAAGTGATAACATATGGAACTGCCATTTGAATAATTGTCAGACTAACTTTTGTTATCTTACAGGGTCATATATACAATTCTACATCCCGCATCAAAAACAGAAAAGAAAAAAAGTCTTGGTTAGGTTATGCTCAGGTAGGACAATGTCTAAAACAAGACAAACTTTTTTTTTAATCTTAGAAGCTTATTGTTCACATATATTAAGAATGAGAAACATACTTTCCCAGTATAGGAAAAGAAAAAAAGTACTATATCTAATTGTTGTTTTTGTCAACTATGAAATTCTGAAGTAAAAGTACAGCAAACATTCTATTCCATTTAATATTTTCTTTGTTTTATAAGCATTTTTAGGGGGAATGAAAGTTTATAGTTATGTATCAGGGAAGGAAGAATGAATTCCTTTTGGTATTATTTATAAAAGTAAATATCATTTTAAAAGAAGTATTGCCTAATAACAACTTGAACAAATTCTTTGAAAGTAGTAGTCTCCATAACAAGCAGTTTTGTGAATTAGATATTATTAAATTTATTGAAAAGAGAATTGTGGGAAGCCATTATTACAGATTCTTTAGTTGTTTTTAATTGCATCCTCAAAAAGTTTACTTCTTTCCAATATAGTAAAACAACATATAATGCATATTTTTACTTTTAAAGTATCTGATTATGTTGATTTCCCAGTGTACTCACTAGTTTCAAATCTGTTCTCCAGTTAACAATGAATCTAAATAATCATTCATAGCAATTTTTCATTCTCAATAGAATTATTTATAAAAATAATGTCCCAGAAGGAGTTATAATCTGACTTTACCAAATTTGGGATAAAATCTTTTTAAAAATCTAAAACAGGATCACCTTTGAAATTTGCATTGAATAATTATTATCTGCCTTGAAAGTTGAGAAAGAATTTATATTCTACTGGGAAACATTAATTACTATTTCTTCTAAATATGCTTTATATTTTCTGAAAAGTGCCTTTTAGGAAATATACCTTATTTTTCAACATGACAAGTTTAGTTTAATGATAACTATAACTAGAACCATGGCTTTATTCATTCTTTTAAATGGTCTCTTGTAATTTGTTGAATCACTTTTTCTCAAAATAGTTGTTAAATTATAATGCTAATTTGTATCCTTACTTATTTTAAAATCTGCTAAGGTAGTCTTGGACATAATTTGTGTCTCTTTGCCAAGTGAAAGTACCTCTTCACTTATTGGTTCGAATGATTAAGTATATACTAAGTAGTGTAGCATCTATCCCATTATTAAAATGTATATGTGTTCTTTTGTGTATATTTAATAGCTATAGATATGTATAGATAGATAATAGCTAATATCTATTTATCATAATCTTCAGAGAATATAATATAGTTCTATATAATTGTAAAACAAGATACTTTAGAAATGCAAAATATTTTATAACCCCTAAAATGTTTTGTTATTATCAGGGTTATTTGTTATATAGAGACATGAATAATCACGGCATGACAGCCATAAGAATAAATCCTGAAACACTGGAACAAGATGGTACTGTAACATTGCCAGGTATGTTATTCTGGTGTTGATATTATATCTTAGCAAGTGATTTATAAAAAAATTTGTGGATTAGATTGTTTAGACATATGAATGAGGAAGCATTAGCAAAAAATATGCTTGAAACTGGGTTCCAGGACTATTTCAGACTGAAAAAATATGAGTTTGTAAATTTGATGTATTTGACTCAAACATATGTATTGCATATGTATAATGCCACATATAAGATATTTCTTTTTAATTAAAATTTATAATAAATTTTTCTTTTTTCTAAAACCTGATGTTTTAACAAAAAATATTTAAACAGTTGAAATAAGGGAGGTTTAATATTTGAATTTATATTACAAAATTCTTACTAGTAGTGTATTAGTGATTGCCATGTAATCTTGGGCAAATCACCTTCTGCCTTTATTTTTCTTTTTATTTTAACAATAAGATTTTATTGGAAAACCTGATTTGACAAACGGGTATTTTGATTTTTTTTTTTCATTTAAAAATACTTTTGAACCACAAGTTAATGTTAAATATATGCAAGGCTTTTAATTTTTTTTACACCTATGTCATACAGTCATTTTAGAAAAGAAAACTTAGTCTATCAAGCTTTCAGGGACTTGATTCATTTTACCATAAATTTTAATTACTAGTACTATATGAATTTATATCTTCATCTGTGAAGTGACAGTTATTTATATTTTGAATACATTGTGAGCCTACTTTTCCAATGCTTTTTGTTACATTTTATTTCCTATTACTACATGTAATAACTGTTCTGATCATTATATGCTGTTTTAAATTTCAAAAATATTTATATTGCGTGGTTAATTTGAATGATATCTTGGAAAATTATTTTTCCAGTTGCACTTCCATTTTATAATAAGGCAACTGAGACCCAGCCTGTTTCAGATAGTTACTTACTCTCTATAATAGAGAACAACTATATATTTTGGATAGTTAGTATTCAATTTCAAATAAAATTGAAAGGTTCCTTTCATCCCAGGTCCTCTGACCATACATTTTTCCTGTCTCTAAGTCTCCTTTTTGAATGACCGCTTCTTACCTGTTTGAAAACTTCCCAGAATTGTCCTCATCATTTTACTGTCTGAAAATAAAGATGAATAATCCAGTTATTAATTGTGAATTCTTCTGCATTGTATTTTGTGTTATGTAAGATGAAGATAGGTCAGAAGGGGTTGCTTTAAATACTTGTATTTCATATGCATGTGTAATATTTAGGGGAAGAATGGAACAAAATCCATGGTGGTGGTGGTGGGAGGTGGAAATCCCCCTTCTTCTGTTTCTTATGCACTGATAGAAGCTTCTAGAAACATTCTTGGAAAATAAATCCATCTTGTCTTACACTTTTTTAAGAAGGACAAAAGAAAAATTTGAAACTGTTGGAAAGAAGACTCAGCCTTTCAAACCTAAGAAGAAGCTGCTGCTTTCATTTTTCTGATACTTTCACTTCAACTCCTCTTTGGATAGTGTCAGGTTTTTTGGTGGGGAAAAGTGGGAAGTGGCACCAGGGATGCCTGTAATCTTTAGATTTCTAATCAAGAAATAGAAGAATTCACTTAGGATTACAGCTGGTGAACTACCTCTTTAAAATGGATATTAACTGAGCTTCATGCAGCCACTTGTAGCCTGTATTTTCTAGAAATGTTTTTGGCTTTTATAGATGGCCAGAAAATGCCATAATTAAAAGAATATTTCCTCAACATTCTGTAGTGTTTGTTCTGGTTTTATTTTAGTGTGTAAAGCTCTAACCATATTGACACTTTATTCTTTGTATCCAGGAACAGCTTTAATATTATGTGTCCCTATGTCCTTTTATTGTCCATGTCTGATGATGGGCTGCCTCAGACCATTGAGCTGCTTTCCTGCGCCAGTCCATTCCTTGTCCCTGCTTGTTTCTGAAATAATGAGTTTTTCTTCTTTGCTTTTTAGTTTAAAATCTTACTGCTTAGAGCTTGAGAAGCATCTTTCTTGTACTTCTTTGTATTCTGTACAGTGGAATAGGAACTCTTTCTTTCGATTTCTCCTCTCTTTGATTATCAAGTCTCTTGGGCTTCCAGTGGGCCTTGTCTCCCAGTTTCTATTTCCAGTTTGTGATCACTGAAATTCTCTGTTTGGGTAAGGGTCTGCCTGTGTTTTGCATATTTATAATAAGGAAGTATGCTAGCTCCTGGGCAAAAATATATAGTAATCCAGCTTGTTTGGGGTCCTTTACTGCATTCCAAGAAAGGAATTGTGTGTTTCTTTGATTCAGGTGCAGCTAGAAATGGAATATTCTTTTTTTTTACAGTGATTAATGGAGGGATAGTGCAGTTGTCAGCAATTATTTTTGAGAGAGAGAGAGAATGTGTGTGTGTGTGTGTGTGTGTGTGTGTGTGTGTGTGTGTGTGTTCTTTATGCTTGCTGAAATTTGTTTTTCCAAAAGAATACTGTCTGTTTAGAAGCTAAATTTGCTTGTGGTCTGTGTTACTCAACAACAATCACTAATACAGATCCCATTGGTGCTTCTATAATGCAGGTATCCCTTGTTATACAAACAAACTTGATATGTAGCATATTTTTAAAATATAGAGTTAAAACTCCAGTTATTCATATGTTAGATAGGGACATTACTGATAAAATATGATAGAAGCTTGTTTTTAATAGTTAATTATAAATAAGCAAAAGCAGAGCACAAACTCCCAATGAAAGGATCCTGGATTCTGGACAGTGCTGGAAAATATAAGAAATGATTCAAAGAAAATCTGAACTTCAGGGTATAGACTGCCAATATAAATATATGTAGAGATTTGAAGTGTCACTGGATTTTGAAATGTGTGTATCTATAAAACAAGGGATATCTGTAATTGGACAATAATAGACCCCAATTATAAAAAAGCTTTAAGTCCATCAGTATTTTTCAATGGCACTAACCACAGTGGTGTCTGTGAAAGGGTAGATTGTTGCCAACATCGCATGTGGTTGTATTGCAATGATAATAATCAAAATTATCGCTTGTTCATCATGGTGCATGAATACTACCAGACTATATCTAATAAGAATTAATTTTGGAGCTAGGTTGACACTGAGATCTTTGAGTATTAAGGACTGAAGAAATACTTTTAAAACCACAAAAATTTATAGGTAGTCTTATTAACTGAATTATTTAGTTTGTCTTAATTATGTTGAATTCTTTATTATAAATTTCAATCTCCTTTGAGTTAAAACCTATACTTATTCCTTGGAGAACTCCCATTGTGACATCATCAGAGGAATAAGGTCCTTTCTGGGTTGTGTCTTTGTGTTATAATATAATTATTTTTTATTCCTTCTGTACAGATTGCCACACAGAAGGACAAAATATTTTATTCACTGATGGAGAATATATTAATCAGATAGCTGCTTCAAGAGATGTAAGTAATTTTGTATAATTAAATAGCATTTTTGCAAGGGAAAATGACTTGATGGTTAGCTTCTACACAAAAATATGTGATCTACACTTGAATTTGTAGGAAAAAGCATTGTAGGAAAAAGATTAATGTCTCATGTTTGGCTACCCATACCAGTTATTTTTGTTATATTCCAAAATTACCTATAATATCTTCATCCTTAACAAGCTATCTCAAAAATATGAGCCATGGATTGTAAAGAGAACTTTACAGAAGACTGAAAGTATATAAATGGAAGAATGAAAATATAACACTATTCTTAAAAGAACTCAGTACTTGTCCTGATGACATCATTAGCTGGATCACTCATAATATTGTGTTGTCATATAGTTGTTTAGCAATGTTAGCTATTTAGATTCTTTTTGTTTAAATTTTTTACATTTGCAGGAAACTAAAAGATATTATAATGATTTGAAGGTACTTTTACTTTGTAAGAACTGTTTGAAAAAATTAACACTTCCTTTTAAAATGTGTATTAAAAGTTTTGATGCAGCTTTATTAGGTACAAAAAAATTAGTACATAATAGGTAATGCAGCATAATGGATTGAGAGCTGAGGAATCTAGTTTTTTTTTTTTTAAGGTTAATTATGTTGTTCAGTACCATATCTAACCAAATTTGATTTTCAGAAAACTATACCATGGAACTCTTTATATTTGTTGATTTCATTATAGAATAAATTTGGTAGGGGATTGGTATTTCTTGGACTCCATGCAAGAGGGTTTATAATTAACATACTAAAAGATAAAACATTCTTACAATGTGATTTGTAATATAGACAGTAAGAAATGTGTTATAGTGATGTTCTGGTGTAATTCCTATTATATGAGAGAAGAATGAATGAATGAAATGTCCTAGATCTTCTTCTCTTTTCCTTCTATACTATTTAACTAGGTGATCTTATCAGCTCCCATGGTTTCAATTATCATCACTCTGCAAAATGACTCGCAGATCTTATTGTCCAGCCCTAAGCTCTCTGCTGACTTCCAGTCTCTCATCTCTAACTGACTGACATCTTGAATAGAATGTCCCATAAACATCTTAAACTGAACATGTCCAAATCTGAACTAATTTTCTTTCCCCTCAAAACCCTCCCCTCTTCCTAACTTCTCTATTGATGTTGAGGGTACCATCATCCTCCCATTCATCCATGCTTGAAATATAGGGATCATCCTCACTCTCTCTGATCTCCTGTTCGATTGGTTTCCAAGTTCTGTCATTTCTGTCTTCATAGGCTCTCCTATATGCCCTCCTGTCTCCTCAGAAACTGCCACCATCTTTTCTGTGTCTTTATTAGCTGTGGTGGTGGAAGAGCGAGGGGTTGGGGCACCAACAGAAGCAGTCACCAGTTTGCATTCCTAGGAGGATGGTTGTGGGACTGGACAAGAAGCAGGGATGGTTGTTTGGAGGGCACTGGCATTCTTTGGGCTCCTGGGCTTATCTTCATGTCAATGGCAGTTAATCAGTGGTTGGCAATGGTGGTGGTGAAGATGTGTCTTCTTTTGCACAGTGATTGCTCCTATTGTTGATGTTATGTGGCCTGAACTGGAAGCAGGGCTGGTGATTAGGGAGTAGTATTTTTTTCAATTCATTAGAATTGGTAGGTAGAGGTCATGGTTTGACCTACTTGGCACATGCTACCTCCTGTCTCTTCCTGTAAGGTTGCAATAGGTAATGGCTACTATTGATCAAGAATATATAGCTGTGGTAGTTTACTAGAGAACCTTGCTTATGGTAATATAGTCTTATTATCATTTCTACCTTTACAGTTGGATCGTGGGATTGTGGATTTAGAGCTGGGAGGGACCTCACATCATATAGTTCAGGCACTCCTCAATTTACAGAAGAGGAAACTGAGGCCCAGTGAAATTGACTTGCCCAAGGCTCAGTAGATAGATAGTAACAAAGCTAGGATTTTAAACCAAGTCCTCTGACACAAAATCCAATATAATTTCTACTCAATGAACTAACTTCATGCTACCCTGTAGATTTAGCCTTTATAAGGTGTTAAATCCCTTTCAAAAAATGTCACAATTGACTGTGTTGTCCAAGTTTCATGATCTGGTAGTAGGTATGTCATTTGAAATTTAGATGAAGCTCGACATACTGCTTAATTTGAAGAAGAGTTTAAGTATCATTTTTGTAAAATCTGTGATTGTAACTGAACAAGCTTTATGAAGAAACATACCTAAAATTTGATACTTTTCTCATTAATCCTTAGACATTACTTAACATCAACCCGATTCATAATTAGCCTCAATTAGAATGTTTAGTTGTAACTTACCCTGCCATCTCATCTTGTAGTTTATTCTTTCCAGGGCTTGTATATAGTTTTAGGTTGACTTGGAGTCACTATACCTTTGCACACTTTTTCCTCAGCTACAAGTTATGGGATATTTTAATTTAGGGAATCATTCCTGTAACCACCCTTTTTGAAACTAATCAAAGATGATGTTAGTTTTTTTTTTTCTGAAAGAGTTTCCATTTTTTAAGTTTCTGCTTCCTTTCTTATTTGTAGCAGAAGACAAATAATAATAGCTCACATTTATTTAACTCTTTACAGTTTACACAGTTCTTTCCCTGTAATATCCTGTGAGATAGGTACAGTCTTTACAAATATTATTAGTCTAAATTTATAGATGAGGAAACCAATTCATACTAAAGTGTTGAGTTGCTGGATATTTTAATTCCCAGTTCAGTGATCCTACCACTGTGCAACACTACGTGTTGAAAAGGAACAAGAAAAGAGAAGCCTATAGAGCAGATGCCTAGTTTGAAAACATAGTTCCTCACACTCTCATTGGATAAATTTCCCCCCTAATCAGAAGGAGATTACTTTCCATTTAACTCTGTCTGTCCTAACCAGTGAATATTTCTTATGGGTCTGCTGAGTGTAAGGCGTGTTGGATGCTAGGAATATAAAGATTAGAATTAAGGCAATATCTACCTTCTAGGATGATACTACATTGTGAGGGGCCTGGACGCTGAGAATGTGATAATAACAAAGAAAAGATTCAGACAAAATGTTGTAAAAAAAAAAAATGTCAAGGGATTAGGGAAAGCTTCATGAAGAAAGTGGCACTTGTGCCTTGAAGGAAGAGGATTTCAGGTAGAGAAGGTGGGAAAGGGAAAAAATGTGAATGGTGTTTGACTTGTTCACCTAGACTGAAAAGTTTGCTTTTGTTTAAAAACAAAACAAAAACATTCGAATATGGTTCCTGAATTAATTTAAACTGTCTTGACAATCAAGTTTTCCTTTTTGGGTACAATTTGGACATGCAAAACTTAAACTTACTGTAAAGATCCTACAGTATTGTTTGAAATCAACTTTAAAGAACTTTTAAATTCTTAAAATGCATGATTTTGTCATTGTTGATTTGTTTTAACTGAAAAAAAAATTTAAGTAAGCACCTTTAAGATGTAGACCTTTATCAAAATTTCACTTCTTCATTAGTATCTCACGTGTTTGTATGGTCTTCCCCTCAGAAAATAATCTTGCTAACCAGAGGTGCCAAACACTCCCAAGTGTGGTCCCCAACCAAATTACGGTGTAATGCGGAAATATTTAACAAAATAAATAAAATACAATAAAGCATAGATCACATTACATTTTAAAACTAAGTTCATATGTGGCCTACAGGGATCTTTATGTTTGGATTAGTGGCCTCCATTTCTGTTTGAGTTTGACATCACTGGTCTAAACCATTCCAAACATAAGGAAACAAATTAAATGAATGAAATAAAAATGATAAGTTGTTGTTCAAATGTTTTCAGCCATGACCAACTCTTTGTAACCCCATTTGCAATTTTCTTGACAAAAATACTGGAGTGGTTTGCCATATCCTTCTCCAGCTCATTTTACAGATGAGAAAACTGAGGCAAACAGAATTAAGTGACTTGTTCAGGGTCACACAGCTAGTAAGTGTCTGAGGCCAGATTTGAACTCAGGAACATGAGTCTTCTTGTGTCCAGTCCCAGCACTCTATCCACTCTACAACCTAGCTTCCCCATAATTGTAGTTGTTATATATAAACTTGATTTTATCATCTTTAATTGAGCAATTATAATGTGCTTTATTATAGTAACAAATCTGTTGAGCTCAGACCTAGACTACTTCTTGAGTAAGCATTTAAAATTTTAGCTCAGTACTACTTGAACTATAAGATAGACTAATATTGTTCTTTTCATATTTTTAAATACACCACAATTTTTTAAAAGTCTATCCTTATTTTTTTCTTTTGTCTGTATAAATGTGAAGTACTAAATTCACATGCTTTTAAAATTAAGAATAAACAAAAGCAATTAGATTCAAGAAATATACGGTGGAATAATGAAAATAATATTGAATGTGGGATAAAATTACCTAGGCTGAGGCTTTCTCACTTGTATCTGTGTAACTGTGGACAGGTAATTACCCTGGGACTCATTATAGTCACTGTAAAATGAGGGCATTAGACTAGATTATATCTAAGGTTCCCTTTATCTCTGAATTTATGATATTTTATGCTTTCATTTTAAGGCTAACTAAAAGATAAAGAAAAATAACAAAGAGAGAAAGTAAGTTAGGTTCATAGGGTTTAAAGCTGGAAGAGACAAATTTTTACTGTTAAGGAAATAAATACAAGTCCAGTGCGTAGCACCTCTGGGATTCAAACCAGGGTTTCTTTGATTCCAAATCTAACCCTCTTACTATTATTGTAAGGAAGAAAAGACATGAAGAGAAGAGAACATGAAAGCATGAGGGAGAAAGAGTGAGGAAAGAAAGGAAAAAAATCATATAAGAAAACCTCAGGATCCCAAAAGAAATAGACAAAGGGAAAGAGGCAACATTTCTTGCCCATTCATTTAAAATAGTACTTTTCAAACTTTACTCTATCTCCACAACAGTCCCTAACTTCTCTGACATTCAGGGCTACTACCCTTTTTCTAGTAATCATTGATCAGTGACAATGCTATTAATATCATTTGGTTAAACAAGGACTCATCAACTACAATCCTTCCAGTAAAATGGGACCCTGTCAGATACTACCATCTACCCTTTTACTCCCTTTGGCCCACTGGAACTTAACATCTGCTGTTCTCCTATTGTCTTTGAATCTTTGGTCTTTGCAAAATAACTGATGTTGTACCTAAAGACCACCAGGCCTTAGCATTCTTTTGTTTCTATTTAAATTTTTTTTCAACTAACATTAAATATATATATGTGTGTGTGTGTGTGTGTGTGTGTGTGCATATATATATATATATATATATATATATATATATATACACACACACATATATATTTCTCCCTCCTATCACTTCCCCTTCACTTCCCATTGAACAAATTAAAAAATAGACTTGATGGGGAGGGAGAAGCATTTATATAGCACCTACTGTGTAACACTGTTTTAAGCACTTTATAAATATCTCATTTTATGCTAACAGCAACCCTGTAAGGTAGTTACTGTTATTATCTCAATTTTACATTTGAGGAAACTAAGGCAGACCGAGGTTAAATGAATTGCCCAGGGTCAACAGTAAGCATCAGAAGCCATATTTGAACTCAGGTTTTCCTGACTCCAGACCCAGTATTCTATCCACTGCGCTACCCAAAAAAAAAAAATCCCTCAAGTTATGTCATTGTAGTCTGGCAAAACTAATTCCCCCATTAACCATGTTGGAAAATGTCTGTCTCTTTGTGTATTTAAAGTCCATCAAAATCTCTCTGAGGAAGATAGTATCTGAGTGTATCATTTTTATTCTTTTGGACTTGTGGTTAATCACTGCACTGATAAGAGTTTTAAAGTCTTTCAAAGTTGATTTTCTCTGTAATGTAATCAATGTAATAAATTGTTCTAATTCTGCTCACTTCATTCTGCGTCAGTTCATAAAAGTCTTCCGAGTTTGCTCTAAAATTGTTCATTTTATCATTGTCATGATGATCTTCTGTTACATTGTATACCACAATTTGTATTCCCCAGTAGGATACCCCTTTACTTTCCAATTTTAGTTACCAGAAAAAGAACTACTATAACTATATTTGTGTATGTGCTCTTTTTTAAAATTTCTTTGAGGCTTGGCCTGGTATTGGTATAACTGTGTTAAAGGGTATACACAGTTTGATTATGTTCAGGGTATGGAGTTCCAAATTGCTTTCCAGAATGGCAGGACCAATTCCTAGTTTTCACAGTAGTGCACAGTGTGCCAGATCATTCCACATTTGTCATCTTTTCTTTTGTCATTTCTGCTAGTTTGATAGGTGTGAAGTAGAACCAGAAAGTTACTTTAATTTGTATTTCTCTAATTTTGAGTGATTTAGAGCATTTCTTGAATTAATAATTTGGAATGTTTTCATGATTGCTGATAGCTTGGGTTTCTTCCCTGGAGAACTACCTTTTTCATAAAAAAAAGAATACTCTTAGTCTTACAGATATTTTTATTTAGTCTTATAAATTTGAATCTATTCTTTATATGTCTTGGAAATGAGACTGTTATCAGAGAAACTTGTTACAAAGATTTTTTCCTACTCCCCTTTCAATTTTTGCTGCATTAGATTTGTGCAAACTTGCTTAATTTTATATAATCAAAAGTATCCACTTTATTTTGTGTGATTCTCTCTGTTTATTCATGATCTATTTCCACATCCATAAATCTGACAAGTAATTTCTTTCTTGGTCTTCTAATTTGTTTATGATATGACTTTATATCTCAGTCATCTATCATTGGAGCTTATAGTGGTAGATGACATGAGGCATTAGGATAAATCTGACTTCTGCCAAACCGATGTCCAGCTTTCCTAGGAGTTGTCAAATAGTGAGTCCTTCCCCGAGCAACTAGGGTCAAATACTATGCTGCTGTGGTTTTTTTTTTTACTTCTGTATGTTGTGTACCTAATCTATTTCATTGAATGAACTCTATTTTTTAACCAGTACCAAAGCATTTAATGATTACTGCTTAAACCTCTTTCCTTCCCACTTTTTTTTCATTATTACCTTTGCAGTTCTTGACCTTTGTTTTTCTATGTGACTTTCATTATTATTTTTCTAGCTCTATAAAATATTCTTTTCGAAGTTCAGTACAGCACTGCATGAGGGTTTTCTATACACCCTGTATTACTTTTCTCGTTTCATCCTCTGTCCCTAGCATAGTGCTTGGCACATAATAAATGAATGATAAATGCTCATTCATTCATTCATTCTTTCTTACTGTCACAATTGTTCACCAGGAATTTATTAACTGTGGTCTGTTTATTGCCTCTAAAAGTGTATTTCAGTCATTTGGGACTATGTCTTTAACATTGAACATTGAAATTATTTTTAAGAGATGTATAAAATCATGTCCATATATCTTCGTCTTAGAGGAGTAAGGACAGTCAGCATGAGGCTTTTCCATATGCCCTGTATTACTTTTCTCTTTTCATCCTCAGCCCCTAACACAGTGTCTGGCATATAGTAATTAATTAATAAATGCTCATTCATTCATTCTTCCTTGCTGTCAAAATTGTTCACTAGGAATTTACAAAGTGTTATCTGCTTATTGCACCTAAGAGTATGTATCAGCCTATTTGGGCCTTTGTCTTTAATATTGTAATTATTTTTAAGAGATGTATAAAATTGTATCCATATATCTTCATCTTACAGGGGTAAGGACAATCAACAAATATTTGATTTTGTATACTTTCTAAAGGGAATGATGATTCTAAGCTGAAAGCTGAATCTAGTATGTGAGCCTAAAGTGTTCTCTCCCTCATACTATGGAACTTACAAAGCAATTTTAATTTGAACTTTTTCCAAGTGAATTAATTATTAGAAGTACCAAGAGAAAGCTCTTAAAATTTGCTTTCACCTTTAAAATGTGGTCCTGCAGCATTTACTCTAAGGTCAGCTTTTTATTGAGATTCCAGTATGATTGATAGTTTTCCCTTTTTAAAATTCCATTTGAGTTGTTAGACCAAATAGACTTTTTATCCAGATGCATTTATGACTAATTTTATGGTATTTAATACTTTGAATACTCTGTTTTGTTTAGGATGGCTTCGTCGTTAGAATATTTGCAACAAGCACTGAACCTGTACTTCAGCAAGAATTGCAGCTCAAACTTGCCAGAAAATGTTTACATGCCTGTGGCATCTCCTTATTTGATCTGGAGAAAGACTTGCACATTATAAGTAAGATTGTACAATGAAGATCACTCTGCCAGCTACTTTGATTCTTAATACTACCTTCTCTTTTAAAACATTTTAAAATATTCACAACCCTGCAGTTTGATATTTTGGGGATAATTCTGTAGCCAGAAATGAAATCTAGGATTTACATATGCCTAAGAGTATGGCATGTAAGGGTTTTCATATATAAAATCTGTGTGAGTTCTATAGTCAAAGACACTAAAATTTGGAAGTGGCCTAGATGGCAATTAGCCTTAGTTATGTCAGAACAAAAATACCATCTATATTTTATCCCATAAGAATTAATAATATATTTGTAATAGCTAACTTTATTTGTCTCTTACTATGTGCCAGGCACTGTGCTAAGCACTTTACAATTATTATCTGATTTGATCTTCACAATAAGCCTGGGAGGTAGGGGCTGTTATCCCCATTTTACAGATGAGGAAACTGAGGCAAACAGTGGTTAAGTTACTTGCCCAGGGTCACATAGCTAGTAAGTGTCTGAAGCTGGATTTGAACTCAGGTCTTCCTGATTCCAAGTCCAGTACTCTTACCTACTGTGCCACGTTGTTGCTCCTTATTTATGATATGACTTTTTATATATGTTCTGCTATCCTTTGATATGTTTCTCTATCCTCTATCCTTATCTCTAGTTAGCAGACCTCAATATTTCCCAAGGCATCCCATTGCACTTTTGAATCGGTCAAATTGTTAGGACGTTTTTCCTGACATCAAGTCTTAAAATATTCTTCTTTTGCACATTCAACACATTGCTCCTAATTCTTCCCTATGGAACCAAACTGAACAAGTTTCATTTTTTTTTCTTCATGTGACAATCCTTCATATACTTGATAACAGCTTTTATATTTCCCTAAATCTTCTCTCTCTTCCAAGTGAAACATCCTAAGTTTCTTCAGACATTACTTGTATGGCATGAACCTTTCACCATCCTACTTGCCCCTCTTCTGAATGTTTTCCAGGCTATCAATGTTCTTCCTAAAATGTGGCACCCAGAACTGAATACATTCCTCCAGACGTGGTCTGAATAGGACATGGTATAGGAGGACTAGCATTTTCCAAACTTTGGGGACTAAGCCTCTGTCCTAAGATTACATTGGATACGTTGACTTGCCAGATCATATTTTGGATATGTATATGTATAGAGTTTCCATGTCACTGCCCATGTGTTCATCTGTACAGATTTTTTTTCAGACTAATGGTTGCCTGACCATTCCCCATACGCACATCTTATACTTGCAAAGTTGATTTTTTGTTTTACAGAATTGGAAGAATTTGCATTTATCTCTATTAAATTTCATCTTATTATAGTCAACCCAGTGTTTTAGCTTGCAAAATATTTTCAGATCCTGATATTATAATTCAGCATTTTAGCTAAAATCAGCTATTAGCTATAGTTTTATGTAATCCCACAAATTTGATAAGTATTTCATTCGTATCTATCCAAGACATTGATAATAAAATTAAATATCATTATTAAATTCATAGATCCTTGGGGACACTCCTCTATGCTTTCTTCCAAATTGTCATAGAACTATAAATAACTATTAATTGTGTTTTGCCGCATAGCCAATTTATAGTCCATTTAACTGTAATACTTTTTAGCCAGCATCTCAGCTTCTTGTCCACAAGAATGACATAGGAGATTTTTTTTCTTAATTTTTTTTGCTAAAATCTAGGTAAACTATATCTAACGCATTCCTCTCATCTCCCAGTCTAGTAACATTTCAGAAAGAAAAGGAAATGTAATTCGTCCTGGCACAGTCTATTCTCAATCAGTCTTTCAACTAGCACTTATAAAAATTTCTTTTTCAGTCATGGCTCTTCATGACCCCATTTGAGGTTTTCTCAGCAAAGACACTGGAGTGGTTTGCCATTTCCTTCCTCAGCTCATTTTTACAGATAAGGAAGCTGAGGCAAACAGAGTTAAGTGACTTGCCCAGGATCACACAGTAAAGGTCTGAGGCCAGATTTGAAATCAGGTCTTCCTGATTCCAGGCCTGGTTTCTATCCTCCATGCCATTTAGCTACTCAGCTGTATGTTCAAGAACCATGCAAGGTATTGGCAATACAAAGACAAAAATGAAAGTTCCTGCCCATAATGATGCCATACTAGCACTTGGTCATCATCAGTTCCCTTTCTAAATGTTCGCTAACTCTCCCTTTAACAATATATTCTAGAAATTTGTTTAGGAATTGAAGTCAAGCTTACTGACTTTATTATGCACAAACCATTCTTTTCCAATATTTGAAAATTGGGTCCATATGTTCCTCTCTCCAGTCCTGTAACAGCAAAAAGGGTTCAACAACCTGTCTGCCATTTCTTTCAGTATGCTGTCTAAGATGGGGACTGATGAGTAGAACTTACCAAAGGCAGCTAAGTAGTCTTACTATTTTCCTACTTATCATGAATCCTAAATCCTAATTATTTTGTTTTTTTGATTCCAAAGACCCTTTGCTTTAGTAGAGAAAATAAGGAAAATAAGAGTTAAACAGGCCTATCTATTCTTCATTTTCATTATCATTGCCTCCATCCAGAGAACAGTCTGTCCTTTCTTTGGGCCTCCTTTTTTTTTCAATGTGACTTTTTTTAACAATCATTTCTATCACCTTTCCTTGCAGCTTTATCTCATTCTGAATTTTGCCTGTCTTGAACTATTTTAGAAGGGTTATGCTGTGCATTTATTCATTATTTTTTTTTAATCTGGCATTGTTTCTATTTTGTTGTACATTGAAAAAATTGATTGGTTAAAATTATTCTTTTTTACCCAACTCCCACTATCGTCATTGAATTTTTTTTTGAGTCTTTAAAATTTTACTCTTGAGAGCTTCCCATTTTTCTTGGTTTTTATTTATTTGTTTGTTTATTTATTTATTTATTTTGATGTCTCTGTTTTTCTGCTTGTCCTTTTGGTAAAAACTGTGATGTTTATAGAACTTAGCCTTTTTCAAATTCTAAGGTACATATCAGGCTGTGCCTGAGTTTCCCTTTTTCTAATGCAAATTCTTACCCTTTAAGAGGGGAGGGAGAAGTGTTTCTACACACAGCAATCAGTTCTTTCTTTTTGATGATAATCCAGCATGGAAGTTCCCCTAATTGCTTCCTCCACCTTTAAAGGGTGTATTTGTCATTAAGGAAAGTCAAGAAATTACATTAATTGCTCTGTTTTTTGCTAGGAAAAGTGTTTTCACAGATGTCTGTTGGATTGAAAGGTATCATCATTATCATAGCTTGCCTCTGTGCCAGGCTGTGATTCCTTTTCCTAAATTCTCAGCTATTTCCTCTAGGTAATTGTTCAGGTCTATGTTCTAATGGCAATCTTGTCTTGATCTTTTTCCAAAATCTTTCCATTGTACTTATTACTTCTGGTTCCTGAATTTCCTCACTTGAGATTCTTTTCTTATCATTAAACACTGCTCAACCCTCAGTCTTGCCTATCCTGTTCCTTTTGAACAGGTGTATACTTCTAGAGCCATATTTATGCACCAAATTTCAATGATGACTAGGAGGTCAAATTTGTCTCTCTCGACTAGTCTATTTCATTTTGTGTGTTACTCATACTTTCAGCATTTACTCAAAGATGTTTGAAGTCATGGGTTTTATTTACATTTTGTCTTGTGTATTTCTGGGCATTCTTTCTACATTGAAATTACTCTCTGTGGCATAGTAGGACTACTGTTTATATTGGGACTGGTACAAAAGACAGTTAATTTAAATTCTATCACAAAAGAAAGGTTACTTAAGCTGGAAGTATAGCAGAATTTACAAAAGAAAATTTATTACTAGAATGAATTATGGAGTGAGACTATAGGGAACACTAAGGATATCCTTAAAGAGAGTTTGATTTGGAGACAAAGGCATAGCAACTAGATAATGTCCAGAAGGATTTCCTTACTTGAATTGATTTTTGAGATTTTCACAGCTGCAGGATTTTCTAACATCATTTTTAAAAAATCTAAAATGAAAGTCTCTTAACATCTACAAGTCAACCAACAATTTAACTTAGTCACAGAATGTATTCTGGGCTCAGTCTCTTAATTTAGTACTTTTGCATTATCAGTAAGGTGAGGTAGTGTGCACTACCTTTTCTTCAGAAAGATTTCTCAAGCAAAATGTGTTCTGTATGCTGGAAATTTGGGTTTGCCTGTCTGTCCTGGCTAACAGGGCCCCGATTTGATGACTTGAGATGCAATATAAACCATACCCTTTTGAATTAATGTTTTTTTGACTTTGATAAAACTTGTAATTGTTGATTTGCTTTGTATATTTTAGTTAGGTGGATTAAAAAACCTACTCTTTATTCATAGGAGAATTTTTCAAATAAATATCCACTTAAAAATTTCTAGAAGTGCTGAAATTTGTGATTAGTTTAAATCATGATTGGTATTACAAAATGGATTTTTCTAAAGTTAAAGCTATTTTTATGTAATTACTTCAGGGATAGGGAACCTGTGGCCTCAAGGCCACATGTGACCCTCTGTTTCCTCAAGTGTGGTCCTTTGACTGAATCTAAACTTCACAGAACAAATCCTCTTAATAAAAGGATTTGTTCTGTAAAACTTGGACTCAGTCAAAAGGCCACACCCAAGGACCTAGAAGGTCACATGTGGCCTCGAGGCTGCAGGTTCCCCATCCCTAAGTCTTAGCTAAAGTACAAATATCATACATGGCATGATGTTTTCTTTCATATCTTTTTTTTTTCCTATTTATGACATACCATAAATATGACCTATTTATTAGAAGCAAAGGAGAACTTACAATCTTAAGTGATTGTATTAATTATTTGTGCATATATTAATTTAAAATTTTTAATTTAAAGGTACAGGATTTGATGAGGAGTCAGCTGTATTGGGTGCAGGACGTGAGTTTGCACTTATGAAAACTGCTAGTGGAAAGGTACATTATTTATTTGGAAATCAACAAAACAGTGACATTTATTTAGCTGTTTTAAGTGATGAATGTATTCTATAACAGCTATTAATTACTGCACAATTTGAAGTAGTATACATATCTTTTCAGTCTTTGCTTTTCAGAATATTTCTTACGTGGTTACTACTCATTAATGTGAAATATGGGTTATAAAGTAATGAATTGGATATTCAATTTTGCTAATGTATTTTTTTTTGTTTTAAAATGAGTGTTCATCACTTTAAAGCCTATTGAAATATTCTGAAATGCAAAAAATAAGAGTTTTGTAGTTGTACTTGTGAAAAAAAATGTGCCTATCACAAATGTGCCTAGATTTGTGAAATGCAATAGAACTTTGTTCCATTGGGCTTGCTATAGACCATGTTCCAAAACAAGATTACTCTTTTGAGTATATGTAACATATACTCATATATAACACACATATATATATATATATATATACACACACACACACACACATATATATAAAACATATGATAATGTGTAGTAGTTGTTATAATGCTATATGGCTGTATTAAAAAATATGATCATATGATGGAGAGAACAGAAGGGCATGAGTTAGGACATCTGAGTTCTAGTTTTAACTTTATTTTTAAAAAATCTTAGTATTAGATAAATTACCTTTCTGTGCATTAATATTTATAAAATAGTGATAATAATAGACCAGTCTACTCCATGTCTTATTCAGGAATATATAGCTATATGTATGTAGGTGTATGGGAAGGGAAGACTAAGAGTAAGTGTTTTCAAATTATAATTCAATCTGTAATTGTTTATGGAGAGGTAGCCATGCTAGAGTGGAAAATTATTGTTTTAGTGAAAAGAACAGTGAAGACTTGGATGTTCTGAGTTCTGGCTTTGCTGCTTGGAAAGTAATAGTAGATAGAATAGAAGGAAGTAATATCTCGGCATCTGTTTGTTCATCTGCAAAATGAGGATTATGATCATGCTGCCTCCTTCACAGGGTTTAAAAGGAAAGCTCCTTGCAAATTGTAATTTCCACATAAATGTAAACCTTAAAAAAATCACTAAAGCTTATTTTTAATAGTTCACACCACAATGGAAATAATTCTACAGATCATCATTGAAGAAATATTTGCTTCTACATGTATGTTCATTTTTTAAATGTGCTAAATATTTACTGCACGCAAAGAAATATGGTGGACAAAAGGAAAGAAACATAGGTTAGATAAGATTAGGTTCCTGCCCTCTTGGAGTTTGCCATCTAATAACAAATTAAATCTTTATTATTAAGTCCTTTCAAGAAAGTTATTTTACTAGTCTGAAGATACAGAGATAAAAAAAAAATCAGTTCAATTCAGTTCAATAAGCATGTATTAAGTAGATATCACTGTCTTGGAATCCAAGGATACAAAGTAAAGATTGTCTGTGCTCTTCCTGGAGCTTACATTCCATTGGAGGGGGTTGTATACAGATAAGTAAATATGTACATAGATGAGATGGAGAGAACAATAACAATTTAGGTAGGGGCAATTACTGAGTTTGTAGCATGGGAATGTGGCTTGGAGAAAGACATAGATTCAGAGTCATGAATGGCAGGTGGATTCTAGTTATAAAGGATGAGCTTTACAAGGATGTGGAGATGTAAGATGGAATGCTGATATCTGGAAACATCTTAGTAGGCCAGTTTGACTGGAACATAGAGTTCATGAAAGAAAGTATTTAAAATAAGTATAAGGGGTATATGGGAGCCACATTGTGGAGGGCTTTAAGTATCACACTCAGGAGCTCACAGTTTATGTAAGCAATATCAGGAAGCACCTGAAGATATTTTGCAGAGGAATGATGTTATCAGTCCTATGCATTAAAATTATTTTAGCAGCTCTGTTTGGAGAGGAAAATGACTCGAAATAGGAATAGGGACAAAACCTGTAATTTCAGTGATAAATTGAACTCCTATATGAGGACACTTCATCAATGCAGGTCAGCATCTTTCCCTGTACATCAGAGTCTTAAGAGAGTTTCCTAGAGCGTTGTGCCTAGGGTCAGAGAAATAGGACTGGAACCCAGGTATTTTTCCTGACTCCAAGGCCTATCTCTATTTAATATATCATACTACAACTGTTTCAACATAGGCAAACCAATTATTAGGAGACTTTTTTAGTACCTGTAAAAAGTGATAGCCTGAACTAGGATAATGGTCATATGAAAGGATATATATAAGAGATGTTGAAAAGGTAGAAATAACAAAACTTGACAGTGGATTGCCTATAGTCAAAAGGAATGCAGGGGGGAGGAGAAATCAAAAGTGACTCTTAAGATGAAAATTTGGGTGACTGAGAAGTTGGATTATGGTGTCCTCATCAGAAATTGATAAATTTAGAGACCAGACAGGTTTAGGGTAGAAGATAAAGAGCTCCATTTTGGTTAGGTTGAGTTTCAGATGTTGTTGGGACAAGCATGTGGAGATGACAGAATCATAGATTTTGAGTTGGGAAGGACTTTCTAGTTAAACCCCCTTATTTTACAGATGACAGAACTAAGGCCTAGATTAGAAAAGTAACTTGCTCAAGGTCCTGTAGGTAATAAAAGTCAGGGTTGCTATTTGAACTCAGTTTCTCTGTGTCCAAACATAGTTTGTTTCAGAAGTCTTAGTGTAGTTTAAGCTATTAAGGCTTAAACTACAACACACTATTTCTTTTGCATATTTCTGTAGCATTTTCAAGTATACAAAGTGCTTCTCTCACCATAACTCTGAGATAGTGAGTGAAAATATTATTTCCATTTTACAAGTGAACTTGAAAGTCAGAATGTATATGTCCAACATCACCTAATTAGGAGATACCTAGCAGCCATTCTGTGATAAAAGATTGGTTTCAAGGAGAAAGGAAGTTAGGCTAGATAAGATTTGAGACTTATATAGATGTATACAGATATAGATAGCAATCACATAGAGATTATAACTGAGCTTGTGGAGTAGATGAGATCACCAAGAGGGTATAGAGATAGAAAGGGACTTAGGACAGAACCTAGTTGTTAAGACCTAGGAGAAATAATAAGATAATTACACTACAAATTATAATATAAATTAAAATATTATTCAGTGCCTAAAAGTGGTCACATAGACTGGAATTAGAGATTTGAGGAGGAGACCTTACTTTCAGCTGGGGAGACCAGAATAGGTAGAAGAATTTTACCTAACCCTTAAAGGAAAAGAATGAAAGATTTTGTCAAGTAGATACTTCTTTGGAGGAGAAGTAGTTCCAGTAGGAAAAAACATGAGAACATAGTATGAGTTGTCTGGAACATGAAGTGCACCACAAATAGTGTGAAATGAGCCTAGAATGGAAGGTTGGACTAGTATTGAACTTTGAATACTACATTAAGGATTGTGTATTTTTGTTCAGTAAATAGTCAGTGAAAGTTTTTAAATAATAAAAAAAAATGTTATCAGGTCTGCTTATTAGGAAAATTATTTTTAGCAGTAGGTAAAGGATAGTTTGGAAAGAAGAGAGAATAGAATCAGTGAAGCTACTCTATATTGACAGTAATGAGAACCCAGACTAGTCTGATGGTCTAGAAGGGAAGGACGTTAGGTGGAACAATACTGAAAGAACTTGCCAGCTGATAGGCTGTGGGGAGGCAAAGGAATGGAAGAGTCAAAAATTGCTCCAGAGTTTGAGGCTGGGTGGCTGGGTAAATGGAGGTACCACCAAAAACAATGGCTAAGTTAGTTCAGAGGTGTAAGTTTAGGGGTGATAAAAGAGTGGGTTTACTTTTGGACGTATTGAATTTAAAGTGTGAACAGGATATCCTGATACAGAGTTCTAGTAGGTAGTTGGGAATACAGAACTGGAGCTCAGAAAAGAGTTCAGGGATGGAATGAAAGATTTGAAAGAAAGATATCTGCATAGAAATGATCTTTGAAGCCACGGAGATATAAAACCTGAAAAAACTTGGAGATGGTACACACACACTTATGGAGTGGGAAGGGAAAGCAGAACCAAAGAAGACATGATTCAAAATGGTCAGAGACCTTTTGTAGTTTATGGGAAAGTCCTTAGATAATAATAGCTAGCATTTTCATATCACATTAAGGTTTGCAAAGAACTTTATAAATATTATCTCATATCCTCACAACAACCCTGGGAGATAGGTGCTATTATTTTTCCCATTTTACAGATGGGCAAACTGATGTACAGAGACTTTTAAGTGAATTGCCCAAGTTCACACAATAGTAAGTGTCTGAGGCCAAATTTGAATTCAGGATTTTCTGATTCCAAGTCCCCCATTCTATCCACTGAACCAGCTGGCTGCCTGAGAGTCATATTAGGACTTCTTTAAAGCCATAATGTGTGCTTCTATCCCGTGGAGTTTAGTTCTTTAAGAACCATAAGGACTTATGGTTTCTTTTGCTCATTCTCTTGTTTTATAGGGTCTGCATTTTAGATATATATAGTTTGGAAAATGAGAATGAATAATATAATAAAGGCAATTTGAAAATCAGGGCTTTTCAGATTTTTATACAGGTTTCACTGTTAAGATTTTCTATGTATTTTTGGAAATAAAAAGTGTGGCCTTAATAAAATATAGATAATGTTTATTCCTTTGAATACACACATACACACACGTACATATTCCTTTTTAATATACTTCATGACAATCTAACAAAAATAATACTTTTGATTACTTTTACTGTGTATAGTTTTATTTATGAGGTTAGTGGGGTTTTTTGACTATTTTTCCTTTCTTAAAATAAAAGAGCATAAAATCTGGTTGATTGACTTGGAACCTAATTTATGATTATTATGTAGCTTTTGTTTTATGTCAAATCCCAAGAAGTATTCCAAAATATTGTAATCCCTTTCTCTCAAGGTATATTACACAGGCAAGTACCAGAGCCTAGGAATCAAACAAGGTGGGCCTTCAGCAGGAAAATGGGTTGAGCTGCCGATTACTAAATCTCCAAAGATAGTTCAGTTTTCAGTCGGTCATGATGGTTCCCATGCTCTATTAGTTGCAGAGGATGGAAGCATATTCTTCACAGGATCTGCCAGTAAAGGAGAAGATGGAGAGTCAAGTAAGTCCCCTTGGTTAACTGTGGAAGTAATATGAAATTAATTTTATCAGAGAATATATTAATTCCATGAATAGTTATTAACATAACAAGTTTATTGTCCCATTAGAATTGCATTTACTTTACCTGTTCTTTTTATTGATTTGTAAAATGTTGTAAAATAGAAAAATTCATAATCACTATAATGCCTAAAATATCAGATATTTTAGCAGGAAGGTTTGCTTTTTAAATATGATATTATTAAAGATAAAATATATAAATGTTCGAAAGAAAAACATTTTAAATTATTAGACATATTTTTATTTTTAATTGAAATTATTTTTCATTTTTAATAAAAATATTCTTAAACCTAGTGGATATAATTTGTATCTTATTATTTATTTGTTTGATAAGCTTATGGTATAAAAGCTCATATTTTTGCCTAGCTGTAAAAAAGTATGTATAACTTTTATGTTCATCAAAGAATTGTAATTGATGACGACATTCTAAAATGATAGTTTGTCCTAGGCTTCTTTAGCTAGGAGACCTCCGAAGTCCTGCCTCTGTCATGAACTGACTCTGTGACCCTGGGCAAGTGCCTTAACCCATCAATGCCTTAGGAAACTCTCTAAGACTAAGTTATACAGCAGGTACTGACATGTGTTGGTAGAGGGAGTTTCCTTACTGGGGAGCTCTTTGTGCTCATGAAATCACAGGCCTTTTCCTGTCTCTGTCCTGTCCATTCTGAAATATTTCTGAGGATTCAGTGTGCACTGAGCTCAGAGTTAGAGGACCTGGATTCAGATTACATTTCTTGCATTATACTACTTGGGTGACCATTGGCAAATCTCTTCATGTCCCTGGACCCATTTTTTCCTCTGTAAAATGATGGACTAGATACCTGGTAATGTCCCCATCCAGCTGTCAGTCAATAGTCCTGTGTACTTGGGGGCCAGTGAGGTGGTACTATAAATGAAGCACTGGGCCTCACTTACTAGCTACATGACCCTGTTCAAGTTTCTTAACCTCTCTGTCTCAGTTCCTTCATCTTAAAATGGAGAGGACAATAACACCTACCTTGCAGGGTTGTGAAAATCAAATGAGATAATATTTGTAAAGCACTTAACACAGTGGCTGGCATATAGTAGGCACTATATAAATGCTTTTTTTCCTTTCTTCTTTCCCCTTCCCTGTATTAGACTTAGCTTTTATTGTAAGTGTAAAAATAAAGTGTGTTTTAATTAATGATTTTAATAAAGTGTACTTGGTTTCATTTGCAAGATAGATTCTTTTTGCACATTAACTTTAAATTACTTTATTTGCCTATTTTTTTTAAGCTAAAAGCAGACGGCAATCCAAACCATACAAGCCTAAAAAAATAATTAAAATGGAAGGAAAAATTGTGGTATATACAGCATGCAATAATGGAAGTAGTTCTGTCATATCTAAAGATGGAGAGCTCTACATGTTTGGGAAAGATGCCATTTATTCTGACAGTTCAAGTAAGTTAACATTTAAAAGTTACATAACACAAATGCGAGGACATACTATTAGAAAATGTGGGGAAATGCCTATACAGAGGCCACTAAGTGGTGCAGTGATTAGAATGCAGGACTTGGAATTCAGAAGATCTGAGTTCACATCCTGCCTCAAACAGTTACTATCTGTGTGACCCTTGGGTAAATCACTTAACCTGTATGCCTTCAGTTTTATTACCTGCAAAATGGGGATAATAATTGTACTTCCCTCCCAGAGTTGTGGTGAGAATCAAATGCAGTAATATTTGTAAAGCACTTTGAAATATCTTAAAGCTCTTTGTAAATGCTAGGTGTTATCATTTGTGAGCCATTTTATTGTACACTGTGAAAATCATATTATCTGTAGTAAACTAACATGTCATTCCTACTTTAATTTCACTCTTCATTTTGGTCTTTTCAGATATAACTTTTGTTTTATATTTGTAATTCCTTCCTATATACTCTGAGATATTCAAATCCTGCCTCAGATACTTATTAGTATGACCGTGGGCAAGTCATTTAACCTGTCTCAGCCTCAGCACCTTCCTCTCAGGGTTATTGTGAGCATCAAATGAGATAACATATGTAAAGACTTTGCAAACCTTAATGTCGCATATGAATGCCAGCTGTTGTTAGAGAGAAGCATCGCTGATGTCATGGAGGGTTAACCAAAGTTAAATGATGACATGAATATCTAAAAGCTGTAGATAGCAGGAATAGTAAATAAATAGAATATTTGATCATTTTCATTATGTTGGACTTCATAGCTATACTTTATTTATAGTTTGTTGATACACATTGAAAAACATTGCCATATATGGGGGATTTTATTACATATAAAAGATAGTGTTATCTCTACGAAGAACACATACAAATGGTCATTTCAAAATGAGTAGTCACAATTAAGGAATAGAGATTTACTTTCAAAGTACTTAAATATGGGATAGTTCAATGAGGATTGCTAAATAAAGACATCCGTCTGCATGGAATTTTTATGACACTAGAATAATAAAAAGATCTATAAGTTTACACTTTAAAAAAGATTTTTCAGGTTTTAAAGAAAAGCAGTGACATAATTATTATCAAATAGGTTTAAAACTGTGAGCAAGACTTCATTGGCTATTTTAAAAAAATGATAGCTAACATTTATGTTGTACTGTAAGATTTACAAGGCATATCACATAAATTTTTTAATTATGTAATATTTTGGGGTGAAAACCTGTGAAAGGCACCACAGATAGTATTTTCTTTATTTTACAGATGAAGAAACTGAGACCCAGAAAGTATAAGGGAGGTGATCATGTTCACAAAGATAGCATGTGCTGAAAGCTGACTTTGAATTCAGGTCTTTCCTCACTCAGTCCTAGTTCAGTTCTTCTAACCCTGTAAATCCAGCTGTAATGCAAAATATAGTCAGTGATGGGTCTCAGTGCTAGAAATTCAGTGTGTACATTGTGTAATAAGTGCTTGGTAATTATTTAATGAATCAAATCGACTTGACCTGGTAGTCTGAGGATAGTCTAATTTTTTTAAATAGTATTGCTGCTTTTAACAATCAGGGTCCATGAAAAATCACTTCATTGGCTTTTCATTAAAAGAAGTGCCCTTCTCATAATAAATTTTGATGAGGTTTTATTTAATTTTGCAGTGACAAGTCAAAGTCCACAAAATACGTAAACCCTGGGTCCTTTGTCCCACCAGAGCATTCTATGGATCAAAAACATTTTACAATTGCTCTGCCAGTACTGGAGTATTGAATAATGTTTGTCAATTAAGTAGTCTCATAGTCTGTATAGAAGCCAAAAGACGTATTCCTGTCCCATTACTTGTTTCTTACAAATTCTGTTTTCCCAATAGGTTTGGTAACTGATTTGAAGGGCCATTTTGTAACTCAGGTAGCCATGGGAAAGGCTCATACTTGTGTCTTAATGAAGAATGGGGAAGTTTGGACATTTGGTGTAAATAACAAAGGACAGTGTGGACGAGACACAGGCTCCATGAACCAAGGAGGGAAAGGTAAGTATTTAATGTACACATACTATAAATTTTTCGTTCCTTAAAAATAAATGAGGCCAGGGGCAGCTAGGTGACACAGTGGATAGAGCACCGGCCCTAGATTCAGGAGGACCCGAGTTCAGATCCGACCTCAGACACATAACACTTACTGGCTGTGTGACCATGGGCAAGTCACTTAACCCCATTGCCTAACCAATAAATAAATAAATAAAGATTAAATAATATTTTTAAAAATATATATGAGGCCATAAAATAGAACCTTTAACATAACACAATGTTTTTTAAAATATTTTTCCCTAAATTTGAAAAGTTACTATACTAGTTTATTTTTTTTTTTGGCATATACTCTCTGGCTTGTTTATTTGATCAATTTCCATGTTAAATTATCATCTCTATACAAATTACTTTGTCTGTCTATCCAGTTTTGTCTTTCCTGAGTTGTAGTTCCACATCACCGGCTGCCTTTTGGACATTTCAAACTTAATGACCCATAGACATCACAAAATCAACATGTCCAAAGTAGAATTTATGTTTCCCCCAAAACTTATTCCTCTTACAGACCTCCCTATTACTGGCTAGTGATGCTAGCTATGTTGCTGTTCCTTGAGCAAGATATTCTTACTCCTTACAGCACATTTTTGTTGGCTGTCTCCCATGCCTGGAATTCTCTCCCTCCTCATCTGCTTCCTACCTTCTCTAGCTTCCTTGAAGTCTCAGCCCAAATCCCACCTGCAGGTGCCTTAATGTTAGGGCCTTCCCTCAGAGATTGTCTCCAATTTAGTGTGTCTGTATTGTATACATATTGCTTGTATATTGTTGTTTGCATGTTGTCTCCCCCATTAGACTGTGAGCTCCTTGAGAACAGTAACTGATTTTTTTTTTTGCCTTTCTTTTTATCCCTCATACTTATAACAGTATCTGGTACGTAATAGGCTTAATAGTAGACATGTTGACTTGACTTTGGTAGTAATAATTTATTAACAGCATGCAATTGTTAGCATTGAATTACTTTTTAAAACAAGTGGACTTATTTTTATATCTGTATTATTAACTTTAAAATTACAGTAACACCTGTTGGAAAATGAGCTGTGTAACATAAATGAATTTTAAAAGCACTAAAACTTAAGAACTTAACCAAAATGTAACCATTTTAATGAAATCTTTCTCATGTATACATATATACATACAAAAATACATGCATATATATTTATATGTATATCTGCTGAATATAACAGAGTATGCTGAATATTATTTTTCATTTTCTTGAACAGTTAAAATCAACTAAATTTTTTCAGTGTACAGTATTGATCAGTTTTGTGGGTTTTTTTTTTCTTTTTCTTTAAAAATTATCATTTGATATCCTGGATGGCTCTTTGGGGAGGGGAGTTAGGAGGGCAAAAATTGGAAGAAATTATGTTGTGAAAAAGTAAGATAAATATTATTTTTAAAAAATCATTTAAAAAATCATCAGCTTAATGCCATTGGGCAATTCACTTAACCCTCTCTCCTGGGACCCACTTTATTCATGTGTAAAAATAAAGAGGTTGGACTAATTGAGTATAAGATTCCACTGAGCTATAAAACTATGTATTATAATTACTAATATGAACACGAGGAGTTATATTCTGTAGTAATAATGCTAACACTGATGTCTCAGGGATCATTGATTGTACCTTCACTAAATATCCTCAGGGTGCTATGTTTTTTTGAAGTATTGTGATTTCTTTATTGTTAGGCTTTCTACTATCATTTTTGATATCGTCACTGTGCCTGTGTCTAGCAACACCCTCAGCTATTTTTAAGTTCCTGTCACTGGTCATAACCTTCTGTCTTGTTATTTCTCTGCCTCATTCCTCCTAAATTTTTTCTTTCTCAGTGTGACCTGTAGTCTCTTCATCCTTATTCTAGCCTCTCTACACAACTTAGATCAGTCTATCTACTCTGTTTTCAGTCCCTTGCCCTCTTATTTGGTTGCAGGGTCATACCTTGCAAAACTCTATTCCTGGGTTACTAGCACTGTCTGCCTCCTTTACTCCTATTTGTGGTACTTAACACTGTTGGAGAAAACATACCATTGTGCTGATTGGGTCCACTACAAATTTATGTTACGTATTCCCAACTGTCCCCTCACTTCTTTCTATATGCCATTCCTTTGACTCTGCCCCCAAGGACTCAGTATTGGGTGCATCTTATATGGTGTTCTAAACCTTTTCTTCTCTCTTAAAATGTCTGGACCGCCCCCCCTTCCTTTCAGCAGATAAGCTCACTTCATATTTTTCTTAGAAAATTGAGGCATCTATCATTTTCCCGTTTTATACCTCAGACACCTTTGACATCATCTCCCCTTCTACCTTCCTTTGCTCCAGTAGCAAAGGAGGTGGTCCTTTTTCTTACCAAGTCCACTCATTGTACGTGTGCCCTTGATCCTTCCTGTCTCTTCCAGGACACTGCCCCTTCAATCTACTCTTCTGTCTTTCTAATCTTCAGTCCCTCTTTGTCTACTGGCTCTTTGCCATCTGCATACAAACATGGTCAGATATTCATACTTAAAAAACCTTCACTCAAATCTGCCATTCTCTCAAGCTATTATCTTTTGTCTTTCTTCCCTTTACTAGCCAAAATCCTAGAAAAAAGTTTTCTACTCTCTAATTCCATTACGTTTTCTCCTATGGACTTATCAACCACTATTCTCCTGAAACTGTACAAGGTTGTCAGTGATTTTTTTCTAATTGCTTAAATCCAATATAATCTTCTCACAGTTTTTGTCCTTCTTGTTCACTCTCTTTTGATACTTTTGACCACTACTCCAACTTGTTACTCTCTTTCTAAGGTTTTCATGATGCTGCCCTCCTTAGAAAGGGCTTTCTCTAAAGTTCTGTCCTGGAATTTCTTCTCTTTCTTTTGTTTTCTCTATTCACTCTGGGTAGTTCATTGGTCTCATGGGTTCATTTGTTATCTCATGTTTCCAGGCACTGTGTTTTCCTTAGAACCCAGCTCTTTTCCTAACATCCCTATTTCTTTCAAAGGCATTACCATTCCTTTAGTCACCCAGTTTTGTATCCCGGAAGCTGTCCTTTATGTGATATTTCTTTGATATTTCTTTGTCTCTTATCTCCCATATATAATCATTTGACAATCTTGTCACTTCTGCCTTCACAATACAAACTCATGCATCTGTCTACTTCTCCACATTCACCTCCTCAGACCATCATCATCTCTCATCTGAACTATTATAATAGCTTCCTAATTAGATTCTCAGCTTCTTGTCTCTTCTTTCTGTAAGTCATCCTCCACAGACATGCCAACGTAAGCCTCCTAAAGCAGAGGTCCAAATATGTCCCTTTCTGGCTTTGAAATATCTATGGCTCCCTTTTGCCTCTGAGATAAAATCTAAACTTCTCAATATGACATTTAAAGCCCTTCACAGTTTGGTTCTAGTTTGCCTTTGTAGTATTCCACAAATAGTTACTTTTCAGATTACTGTTTTGTAGTTTGGAGCTGTTTTTTTGAAAATATGAAGCCCTAAAGAAGCCTTTGCAGAACTGATAAATGTTGAAGAAACTTTATTACAGCAAGTTTACACTGAACCAATGCCATCTGGAGTTACTTAAAGTGTGTGTGTGTGTGTGTCTGTGTGTGTGTGTGTGTCTGTGTGTCTGTGTGTCTGTCTGTGTCTGTGTCTGTGTCCACACGTGTGCAGGGATGGGAGGCCACGTGCTTCTTTCCTGAAAAACTTCAAGGTGTTTCCTACTTCAAAGCTTTTCCTTTTATATGTTGCTTCTTTTCTCCTCCCCCCCATTTTTTAATTAATTAATTTATTTTGATTTATTAACAATCACTTCCATAAGCTTTTGAGTTTTAAATTTTTCTCCCCCTCCTTCCCCAAGACAGTGTGCAATCTGGTATAGGCTATACATATACATTCCTATTAAACATATTTTCACATTAGTGATGTTGTAAGGAAGAATTAGAACCAATAGGAGGAATCACCAGAAAGAGGAAACAAAACACAACTGAAGAAAAAAAAATAGCAAATAGTATGGTTCGATCTGCATTCAAACTCTATAGTTCTTTCTTTGGTTGTGGATAGCATTTTCCATTATGAGGCCTTTGGAGATGTCTTAGAACCTTGTATTGCTGAAAAGGGCTAAGTCTATCAACATTAGTTGATCGCACAACATGGCTGTTACTGTGTACAACATTCTCCTGGTTCTGCTCACTTCACTCAGCATCAGACCATACAAGTCTTTCCAGGTTTTTCTGAAGTCAGCCTGTTCATCATTTCTTACAGCACAATAGTATTCCATTGCATTCATATACCACAACTTGTTCAGCCATTCCCTAATTGATGGGCATCCTCTCAATTTCCAATTCTTTGCCACCACAAAGAGCTGCTATAAATATTTTTGTATGTGTGGGTCCTTTTCCCATTTGTATGATCTCTTTAGGATACAGCCATAGAAGTGGTATTGCTGGATTAAAGGGTATGCACATTTTTATAGCCCTTTGGGCATAGTTCCAAATTGCTCTCCAAAATGGTTGGATCATTTCACAACTCCCCCAACAATGCATTAGTGTTCCAGTTTTCCCATATCTTCTCCAACATTTATCATTTTCCTGTTTTGTCATGTTGGCCAATCTGATAGGTGTGATGTGGTACCTCAGAGTTGTTTTTCTCTAATCAATAATGATTTAGAGCATTTTTTCATATGACTATAGATGGCTTTAATTTCTTCATCTGAGAACTGCCTGTTCATATTCTTTGACCATTCATCAATTGGGGAATGACTTGTAGTCTTATAAATTTGACTTAATTCTCTATGTATTTTAGAAATGAGGCCCTTATCAGAGACACTGGTTGTAAAAATTCTTTCCCAATTTTCTACCTTCCTTCTAATCTTGGTTGCATTGTCTTTGTGCAAAACTTTTCAATTTAAGTAATCAAAGTTATCCATTTTGCATTTCATAATGTTTTCTATCTGCTGTTTGGTCATGAATTCTTCGTTCTCCATAAATCTGATAGGTAAGCTATTCCTTGCTCTCCCTGTTTGTTTACAGTATCAGCCTTTATATCTAAATCATGAACCCATTTTTACTTTATTTTGGTGTATGGTGTGAGATTTGGATATATGCCGAGTTTCTGCCATATTTTTTTCCAGTTTTCCCAGCAGTTTTTGTCGAAGAGTGAGTTCTTATCCCAGAAGCTGGGGTCTTTGGGGCCCCCCCCCTTTTTTTTTAGTAAGTGTACAAGAGTTGTTAGTTGGATTTCAAGTTAATATTTTTTTTTTAACTGTTAGGCATTCTGTATCCTTCTTTTTAGGGCAGCTAGATAGAGTGTTGATCTTAAGAGTCGGGAAGACTCATCTTCCTGAGTTCAAATCTGTCCTCAGTCACTAGCTGTGTAATCCTGGACAAGTCACTTAACCCTGTTTGCCTCAGTTTCCTCATCTATAAAATTAGCTGGAGAAGGAAATGGCAAATGTAGTTTCTTTGCCAAGAAAACCCCAAATGGAATCACAAAGAGTTGGACACACCTGAAACAACTGAACAAAATCCTCTGCCTTTAACTATGCAGTTGAATTAGTATGGTGCCATTACTCATTGTGGAGTATGGCTCAGGAGAGGAATTAGAACCAGAGAGGTCAGTTAGGAAGCTCTTGTACTAGATCAAATGACTGGAAGTCAGAACCTCACCTGGCTGGTGGCTGTGTGAGCAAAGAAAAAGGGCTTGAAGCTAGAGAGAGGGAAGTAGAGTTGATAAGATTTGACAAACCATTGGCTAAAGGGGATAATGAAGAGGGAATACTCAAGTTTGACTCCTAGGCTATGATTTGAGGGATAGCAGTACCCTCAAAATATTGTATATGTGTAAGAATATGTATATATATATATATATATATATATTGTATGTATACATACAATTATACAATCACATATAATCATACATACACATACATTTATACATGGATACTCGTATATGTGAAATAGATATTAATCAAATAGATAGATATGGAATTTTAATTACCTGGTATTACCTTTAAAGCTTGGAAATAAATCATATAGAAAGTCATTGATTGTTGTTCTAAATATAGGTTTTGGAATTGAAAATATGGCAACAGCAATGGATGAAGACTTGGAAGAAGAACTAGATGAAAAAGATGAGAAATCCATGATGTGTCCTCCAGGCATGCATAAATGGAAACTTGAGCAGTGCATGGTTTGTACTGTCTGTGGAGACTGTACAGGTTATGGAGCCAGTTGTGTCAGTAGTGGACGTCCAGACAGAGTCCCTGGAGGGTAAGGGGATAAATTAGTATAAATAACTTACTTTTTATTTCTTTAGCTTTCTATAATTATTAGTAGAACATCAAGAATACATTGTTTAGCACATATTTATTTTAGAAATGATTCCAAATATTTCAGAAAATCATTTTTATTATGCATTTGTTAGAACTAAAATTAAATTAATTTGTTCACTAAGAGTTTAGTGTATTTTTTATTCAAAATAGTTGTGCCCTTAGTTAAGGAGCAGTGCAGATCCAGTATTGTTCCTCCTTTGGCAGCCCCTGATGCCATGGGTGCTGTGTCTCTCAACCCATAGCTGTGGTTGCGTAGAAATTCATGAATACTTTTAGTCTCCTAAGGTATGGAGGGGTTGTGATCTGTATTTTTGGAAGGACTAGCTAAAATAATGAAATCTTGGATCCTGCAATATGAAGAAACAAGAGGAAAGGGAAGGCTCACTGCATGAACTGAAACAACTTGAATGTGAACTATAAGTAAAGAAGGACATGAACCTGGGCAGGCAAAGAGTTGTTGTCCAGTGGAAAGCAAAGCAAACAATGGTCATTTAATGTCATTTGTGATTCCAGCCAAGTCAGGTTTCAGATCTCAACATGGGCAATTATGATCCTGCCTCTGAATGCAATGTCCAGGAGAGCTGTTTTTTTTTTTAACTGGTTCTTGAACATATTTCTTATGAGGAGAGAAACTCCAAAGGGGAATAATGAGGAGAGAAATGTCATAGGATTAGAAAATTTTGCTTTGCAAATTGAATATATTTCACAAGATCTGATGGAATTTGAAATTTAAACAGTAATAATTTAGCTGAGGTAGCTAGGTGGCACAATGCATAAAGTGCCTGGCCTGGAGTCAGGAACACCTGCATTAAAATACAGCCTCAGAGACTTACTAGCTGTGTGACTCAACTCTTCATTTTTTGACACTGGATACTTCCCAGCATAGCAGTCTGTGTACCTGATTTGGCATCATTTCTGTTACTAACATCTTGTTATTTCAAGGAACTAAATTGTTGGCAGGATGTAATCACATAAACCAACACTGGAAATTCTGAATGCCTTCATTTTTAATCAAACAAAATAAAAGCCAAAAATGATGTAGTAATGACCAAAGATGACTGGAGACACTTACTTTGGTCATCTTTAGTGAAAAGTATGGATGAGATAGTTTCCTTATTCTTTTTATTTAGTTTTATTATGTATTCAACCATTTGGTCTGAGAGTATTTGGTAGAATAAGCTTTCAGAGTAATAGTAGGTTAAAAAGAAAAAAATGGAAAGATGAATTTCAATTCTCTATTTCAAAAGCATGCTGAAATTCCATTAATTTTTCTACAGTGATATGTTATAGTTTAACTTAGGTTAAAAATTATATTTTCTGACTTATTGGACATATAAAAATTATAAACAGGTTTTATATACTAGTTTTCAGGGGCAGCTAGATGGCGCAGTGGATAAAGTGCTGGTCCTGGAGTCAGAAAGACTCATTTTCCTGTGTTCAAATATGCCTTCAGACACTTACTAGCGGTGTGACCCTGGGAAAGTCACTTAACCCTGTTTGCCTCAGTTTCTTCATCTGTAAAATGAGCTGGAGAAGAAAATGACAAACCACTCCAGTATCTTTGCCACGAAAATCCCAAGTTGGGTCATGAAGAGTCAGATACCACTGAAGCAACTGAATAATACTAGTATTGCAGTAAACATGTGAAAAGATTCAGTAGAATTGTTTTTGTTTTTTATTGATTAGAATTAAACTTTCAAGGAACTCAATTTTTACTCTCAAATACTATTGTGGAAAAATGAGCTGAATAAAAGATCCTCAGACAAGTTTGTTTTTCAGAGGGAAAAATTCAGTGGCAGAATTTTAGAAAATTCTTATTCAATAATCTTAAGAACTTTGATTTTCTGTGCTCTTTTGCTTCCAAAATCCATAAGTGGGCAGCTGTTCTTATGGAAAAGTTTTCTGTAAATGGAAACCAGATTATATTTTCAGAAGTAGTAACTGTGCTGTTTTAGGCTTTTCCTCCTAGAACAACAAAGGATAAAAAGTCCTTTTTTGAAAGACTGTAGTTGAAAAGCTAAATCATTAGTTCTTCTAGGCCTAGTATACTTGCTTCTTAGGCTTAGTGTAATGCTGTGCTTGTAGCAGGTGCTCAACAAATATTTTTGTTTAAATATAGTATGTTCATTTTTTAACTTTTCTCACTAGAGCTGTGGACTATTTTAGTGTACAATTATCCAGTTTGGAAAATAATTCCTTATCTTCTTTTAATTTACTACACTATCATTAGCCTGGAGTTTCTGTCTGGAGCTCTTAGACATGGAACAAATCTGTTAACCTTATTTGCTTATTGTGTGGGTGAACTAGTCAGTTTCTTCAGGTCATCCTCACTGTTGTCCATGAGGAAAGTGAACATGGGGGACCAGAAGGCAGATTTTTCCTTGAAAAATTTGAAGGATCTTTAAATCTAAGTTCTTGACTGTTGTAAAATTGTAGCTATCACTAAAATCAGTAATAACTTTACTTCATATTTCCTTTTATTTCCTGATAAGTAGCCTTTTTTAAGTTGAGGAGTGGAGGCGGAGTGATATTGGTAAAGTAGATCAGGGTCATCACTTGAATTTTTAAAAACTTTCCTATAATGATGATGACAGGCCAGCTGTGTGTCAGCTTTGAAAGTATATTTATTCTGTGTGTATTTGTTGTTTCCCTCCATTAGAATGTTAGCTCCCTTTCTTCAAGGACCAAATAGATAATCCTTTGTTTTACATTGAAGGCTTTTCATAACCTGGCTGCAGCCTACTTCTAACATTCTAACCAGAATGGCCTACTTGCATCTACTGTTTTAGTGCCTTGGCTGTACCCCAAAACTGAAATAGCCTTCCTCCTTCCTTCTGCCACTGAAGAATCTCTAGTTTCCTTCAAAATTTAGGGAAGGTGCCAACTCCTACCTTGAAATTACCCTGTGTATACACTTACCTGTATTCAAATTGTTTCACATTATGTAGATATAAGCTCCTTAAGGACAGATCTGTTTTGATTTTATGTTTGTATCTTTAGTACCTAGCACAGGATCTGGCATGTCCCAAGCACATGATAAATATTTGGTCATTAATTAAATAAACTTAGGGAAACTTTGATCTTTCTCTTTTCAGATATTGAAATCTTGTAGTAGAAGAGAGATTAAATTTGTAGTGGAAAAGGGATAAAACTCCTCTCCTTAGGCTGCCACCCACTTCACAAGCAGTTTGCCTGAAAGACAGCTACCTGAGGTTCAAGGTAGACTGTAACCATTCTGAAATTGTAACCATTGACCTGTTTATCTTCAGTAGTCATCAAGAGCACATAATCAGACATTTACTGAAATGACATAGTCAGAAGCAAAACATTTCCCCCACAAACCTAGGGTACAATATCCATCTTAGTGGATGCCCATCAAGTTCATGGCTATCAAGGCACAAGCATAAGGTAACACATGGCCAAGGAATTCAGGTATATACTGTGCATATATTTTGTATTCAGTGTGTGTGTGTGTGTGTGTGTGTGTGTGTGTGTGTTGGTGACCTGATACAATATAAAATCTTTGAAAACAGAGACTACTTTGTTTTTGTTACACAGTGCAATATAAGACATTTAAAAATGTTTTTTGTTGGTTAATTGGGTAGACTTAAGGAAAACGTGTTAGCTCTCTTTAGGTATTTGAAGTATTGTATGAGACGAAGGATTACATTTGAAGTGAAAGAAAGATTAAATTATACCAAAGATTGAATCTCAACAGTTGGTATAATTTACAGGGAGTTCTCAGTTCAGCATAAAGGACTTAATAATAATTAGAATTGCTCAGAAATGAAATGGTTTGCCTAAGTAGGTAGTGACCTCCCAGTCACTGATTGGATAAGCATCACATTATGTAGTGTTGGACCTATGTCATCACCCAAGGAGAGTCATTGATGTCTGCTATATAAGAAATGACATGAAGGGAAAGGAATGATGTAGCAAGAAATGCTATTAAATAATTTTGGTTCTTTATTTTAGGATCTGTGGCTGTGGTTCTGGGGAATCCGGCTGTGCTGTATGTGGCTGTTGTAAAGCCTGTGCAAGGGAATTGGATGGTCAGGAGGCAAGACAAAGAGGAATTCTTGATGCTGTGAAAGAAATGATACCTTTAGATCTCTTATTAGGTAGGGTGATACTATTGATATGTTTGTGTGTGGCACATTTTACTCTTGTAACTTAGAAATTCTATGCTTTAATAAGTATAATAAAACATAATACATATCTAAGTATTTTGAAGAATATAGGCAACTTACAGTTAAATAAAATCAAGGAAATTGATAATATGGATTACTTCTTAAATACTGTGACTGTCCTGGCTCCCTCTAAAATGAGCCCTCACTATAACAAAAAAGAGCATACATTTACATAGAATCGTTTTCTCAGTTTTTAGTTTCTTAAGCATTTTGATCACATCTGTGATGTAACTTAATCCTCTTCTTATATTGATAATTTTCCAGCTGTCCCTGTACCTGGAGTTAATATTGAAGAACACCTTCAGTTGCGGCAAGAAGAAAAACGACAGCGTGTAAACAGGAGGCATAGATTGGAGGAAGGCAGAGGTAAGATGAGGCAGAAAGAAATTAGTTGAAAACCTGATGGTTTGCTCAGATGGGCAAATTTGTTTTCAAAATCAAAGTATTTGTTTATTGTTCTCTGAACATCCTTTAATTTTAAATATTCTCCTTATAAAAGATGGTATTATCCCCCGAATAGATTATGTAAAGTATATTTACCATCCAAACAGGAACTTTACCATCAGCCTGAAGATAAGTATTTATTTAGCGCATATTTCTTGGGCATCAGTCATAAGAGATATCTTTTTACTGCAGTGGAAAGTGTCCCAGCTCATTCATCTGATCAAGCAATACTGGTTTTTAGGAAATAGACAAGCTACATAGCCACAAAGCAGTTTTAATTTAGTCTCGTATTTCTGTATCTATCTGCCCTTATTTCAGTATAGCTTTTTCTGGGGAACATAGTCTCATTATATGAATTAATTAATATATATATATATTGCTACTTCTCCAGAGACAGGCCAGGATTCAGGTGAGTGGACACATTTACAAATTTTATTTTCAGAAACAGATTTACTGTTTTCTTGTTCTACTGGCATCTGGCTATTTCCCTTGGTTTCAAAGTGATTTGGAGGTTTTTGGTTTGTTTGTTTTTTTTGGCTAGGCAAGGGGGTTAAGTGACTTGCCCAGGGTCACACAGCTAATAAGTGTTATTTGCCTGAGGCTGGATTTGTACTCAGGTCCTCCTGACTCAAGGGCCAGTGCTCTATCCACTGCACCACCTAGCTGCCCCCAATTTGGAGGTTTTAATTAGTTTTTTTTTTTTTAAATATTGTATCCTGTTAGGATAGACAAAGTGAGACAGTTATGAACATTATCAAAGCATCTTTTCCAAGGAGGATTTTAATAAGCTGTGTTTAGTTTGGGATTTTCTTGCCCAACAAATAAAACTGTCAAAATTCACACTTACTGGTACCAGATATCATAAATGTTTGCTTAAAATGAAACACTTGTGAAGTTAAATGAAACCTCCAGTGGGTAACATCATCTCAAGAAACAATTCGTGGTGACAACTCATATCTCCTTAAAGGTAGTAAAATTTTATTTTCTTTTGGACTCACTGATGAATTATTTTTGAAAGCAGAGAAACCTTGTCTGTCAAGTTGCAGAGTTCCCCAAAATGTCTTTTAAGTGGTAAAACATGTATTTGAAAGACTAACATTATAACTATGGTTCTTTATTGATTAATTAATAGATTGTTTTTATTACTATTTTCCAGTTCAAGCAAAGTCACATTTCTTAAATGCTTAAATTCAAAGAAAATGTTATGATGACATGAAAATATATTTTTGCCTAATTATTCCTGGAGTTCTCTAAATGTCTGGGATAGTTGTATGTTAAATGTTTCATGGATTTAAAAAGTTATAGTTTAAGGACTTAAGAGAATTTTAAAACATTGTTATTGGACCTTTACTGTTTATGCTTATTAAATGGTCTTCATTTTCCATATAAGTGATTTGAGCTGTAAAAAGGATATTGTTAATTGTCATCCATATAACTTTTCCTCCCCTTCTAGCTTCCTTTTTACATGGTATAAAAATCACTTAATCTCAGAATGAAGCTGACTGAATTGTTTAATGCTAAAATCTTTGTCTCTTTACTGCACCAAAGGAACTTTAATTATTTTTCATTCATAGAAGAGAATGTACTTCAAATAAGTTAATTCATTTATAGGTGTATTCAGAATGCAACACTTTACTTCATCTGATTATATATTTTCTTATTTGTGACTGTTTATAAAATGTGTCATGGGCCCCCAAACATTATTCTCATTCATTCTTTTCTCATTTAAATGTTAAATTAGCTCTCTTTATACTATTGTTTTTGATTTAGCAAATGTACACATCAGTTGCAGAAAGTTGTGTTTTTCTATTAAAAATTCCTTTCTTAATGGCTCTAAAAATTCAGTAACAACTCATTTACTTATAATTATTGGGGAATCAACTGTTCATGTATTTTAATTTTCTAGGTAGCTGAAACTTCCCCTTTATGCACCTAAACTTTTATTTTAACCATTTTTGTTGAAATCTTCCTAAAGGGTGTTGTCCATGTACCTTCTACTTTTAAACATTATTTTGACCATAAAACAACCTGTGTTTCCTGGCCAAAGTCATTATTATGAACTGTAACTTGTAAATACTTTATTGTAATTGTAGACCTGTGTTCAATTCTCCTTTGGCTTTGTGACCCTGGGTAAATCTCTTAGTTCTCCAGGCAACTCTCTGACTATAAATTGCAGAACAGCTATTGATTTGCTTTGCTAAAGTAAGTTTTCTCACCCTGCATTATTTACATAAATGAAATCCTAGGTGCAGAGCCAAAAATAAAACGTTACAATATAGGGATGCTCTTAGGGACCATGAAGGTAGGTGTGATTTTTTTTGCACCCAAACTAATTGATCCCCAAATTGCTTTTTCCATTTATTCTGGCTCCTTCCTTACTGTCACTATCACTTCTCCATATTTGATCTACATTCCCTCTCCTCCCCAATATTTTTTTAAGTGTAGAAAACTTTTTTATAAAATTAATTCATTTATTTTTAGTTTTCAACATTCACTTCCATAAGCTTTTGAGTTTTAAAGTTTCTCTGCTTCTCTACCCTCCCCAAGACAGCATGCAATGTGATATAGGCTTATTAAACATATTTTCACATTAGTCATGTTGTAAAGAAGAATTAGAATGAATGGAAGGAAGCACAAGAAAGAAGAAACTAAACAAAACAAAACAAAAAAAAAAGAGAGAGCCAATAGTATGCTTCAATCTGCATTCAGACTCCATAGTTCTTTGAATGTGGATAGCATTTTCCATCATGAGTCTTTTGGAATTGTCTTAGATCATTGCGTTGCTGAGAAGAGCTAAGTCTATCAAAGTTGGTCATTGCACAATGTTGCTGTTTCTGTGTACAATGTTCTCCTGGTTCTCCTCACTTCACTCAGCATCAGTTCATGTAAGTTCTTCTAGGTTTTTCTGAAGTCTGCCTGCTCATCATTTCTTATGGCACAGTAGCATTCCATTACATTCATATTCCAGAACTTGTTCAGCCATTCCTCAGTTGATGGGCATCTCCTCAATTTCCCATTCTTGACCACCACAAAAATAGCTGCTATAAATATTTTTGTACATGTGGGTCTTTTCCCCATTTTTATGATCTCTTTGGGATACAGCTCTAGAAGTGGTATTGCTGGGTCAAAAGCCCCCCAGTATGTTGTCACCTAAGCTTTTAAAATGCCAACTTATTTTATACTAATGTTCAAACCAACCACCAGTCCATGAGTAACTCAGTAATTTGGGAGCAAAAGTATTTTTTAGAAATGAATGAAAAATGTTTAAGGGCTTACTTATATGTTCAAGGATATATACTAAGTACCTCACAAAAACAAAACTAAGACAGTTTCTGGAACAGCTATTTTTCTTGGTGGCCTATTTGATTTACTTTCAGATTCATTGCTGTCTTCTGAATATCTTAGATTGCTGAAAGTCCAACTTTATGGTAAGGGAGGTATTAGACTAAAAAGAGCACCTTTCGGGTAGCATGGCATAGTGGATAATACACTAGACTGTGCAATCTGAAAGACCTGGATTCATATCCTGCCTTACACACTATGTCAACACAGCTGTGTCAACCTACACAAGTCATTTAATCTCTATGTGCCTGCTTCCTCATCTTTAAAATGAGAGGTTTAGGTCCCTTTCCAGTCTAAATTTATGATCCAATAAGATGTGCACCCCCTTCCATTTCTACTTTAACAACTGGGAAATTGGTTTTAGTGTATATTGCTTAAAATATTTGCTCTTTAAAAAGGAAGACTTTTTTTTCTTGAAAAATCAAATTGGACTAAAACATTTATATTACAGATTTTTATGTACCTTGTGATAATTTTCTGTTTTAAATCTGTAGGGAATATAGAAAACTGAATCTTCTAGTTTAAAATGTTGGGGTATCTCTATTTGGTTCAATATTAAAAAGAATGATTGCTGGTATCAACTTAGTGTCGTAACTTCCTATGAAGAAGACAGTACTGTCTAAGAATGGGAGGAATCTATCCTCCAGTTTCTCTTCTGCTTTGTACTTTATAAGGTTATATATTAGTCAAAGATACTCTTTAGTTGAAAATAGGCACTGTTTAATCACCAGTAGTGTGAGAGCAAATTAAGTTTTCACAGTCATTTGTTAGCTGTTTAAATTTCTGTCCTACTGCTTCAGGTCTGGTCAGATCGTTTTAGTTTATCCAACCTTACGCCTGTTTATTAACTCAAGGTTCAGTAGGAATTGAGTAGCAGTACAGAATAGGAGGGTAGCTAGGAGGCACAGTGACCAGGCAGTGCCATGCCTGGAGTGAGGAAGACTCATCTTCTTCAGTTCAGTTCTGGCCTCAGACACTAGCTGTGTGATCTTGGGAGAGTCACTTAACTCAGTCTCAGTTTATCTCAGTTCTTCATCTGTAAAATGAGTTAGAGAAGTAAATGGCAAACCACTCTAGTATCTTTGCCAAGAAAACCCCAAATGGGATCCCAGAGAGCCAAACACAACTGAAAACAACTGAACAACAACAACAGCATAGGAAGCAGTATTGGATAGTATAAAGAAAGAGTTGGTCTCACAGTAAGGAAGACCAAGGTTGAAGTGCTGCCACTGACATCTCCTGGCATTGTGAATCAGAATGTATCACTTAACTTTTCAGTACTGCAAACCAGTGGTGTAACTGAGATAGAAATGGGGCCGCTAAGCTGTACATAAGAATCCCTGCTGGTTGCATTTTGACTTAAAAAAACCACATAGTAACATTATCTATGTTTGATTCTATTTTTATTTATTTTGTTAAGTATTTTCCAGTTACACTTTAATCTGATTTCAGTTGCACTTGGGAATACTCTGTCCCAGACAGTTCTAATTTGAAGAACTTTAATTTGAACAACCATAATTTGAAGCACAGTTGTATCAGTGGAAGGAGTTTTCCTCACCAGGATTTCCTTGTACCAGTAT